CATTTGGCCCGAGGCGGCTCGCGACTCATTGAAGCCTATTCTATGCAAGTACCGGGCGTGTACTTCTTTCAACTTAACGAGCTCTTATTATTACATAGACCGACGAGCAGCAGCAACCACCACCACCGCACACACGGCTCATTTTTATATGAATAACATTATACTTCGCGTATATATTGACGCACACGCACACGTGCGAGTATACGTATACATACTGTATATGACGCGTATCGATAAACCAAAAATAAAAGTGTATTCGATAATTTTCTAGCAAAACGAAAGTTTTCTTACATATACCGCCGTGCGCGCGCGCGCGTCTAATGAGGAATTCATCTATCGAGATAATTGGACGGATGATAACCGCGCGCGCAGCTCGCGGAATGATCGATCGAATCGCGCGCGCCATATATATACACCCGATGATGGAAAACGCGGCAAAACGTACGTATACAGGCGAACTTTCTTCGCCGCGCGCACGCTGCAATCCCATTTTCCGATATCACCACTGCAGCTGTTGCTGTGTATACGTGTATCGCACACGTCAATTATTAATGGAATAATCGAATTTCAGGGAGATTGTATACTCTGGCGCACGCCAGAAATGGATATGTACAATTAAAAATTATCAATCGCAAAGAGCATATTATAGATAGGATATATTTGTAGATTTCAGGAAGCTTTTTAGTTTAGCACGCGCGCGGATACATACGTCTCTGACGTCGAGCACGTTTTTCGACTTATAAAAACGAAACGGGCATTAATCAGGTGGAAGTTCTCCGCGGGCTTCGATTAACATAATATTTTACTTTCCACAGTCGAGTATAACGATGATCATTGTGCGTAATCTCGAGCGTAAAATGTGACACACATTAGGAGCAGCAGCAGCTCTCTTCGGTTCGAGCAGCAGACATCATTAGACCAGACGCGGCAAGCAGAAATAGTTATATCCGAGAGATATATTTTTACCGTACCCGCGTGCCACACACAGGGACTGCTCTCTTCGCGATTCTGACTCTGCAGGCGCCTACGCGCGTCATCAAAGGCACGAGTGCGTATCCAAAGAAATTAATCCATACGATGTCGCGTGGCGTTTTGGACACTAGAGAAAAACGTTCGACGCGATGTTTGCTTGCAGAAATAAGTGAAGGAAAAAAAAAGGAGTCGAGCTGTCAATAAATTGTCTCCTCGTAGTCGACAAAAGACAAAATCGCGCTCGCGTAACTTCTAGATCCTGTTTTCACGCGAGGGCGATAGATCCGCGTATAATAGGAAAAAAATGCTCGGTCTCGCCGAGGCGTGTGCGCGGGAAAAGGGTCGCACGTACGATAATAACAATAGTATACATCGAGCGATCGCGATCATGACACAAAATCACACAAAATCCCGCGAGCGTGTCTTTATAAGCTCGCGACGTCGTTGCGTAACGTTCCGCTGTGTGCGAGAAGTGGTGTTCAGCCGAAAAAGTCAACGCGAGACTCAAGAGAGACACAGATTTCTGTATAAGTGTATATAAATCGCGAGAAAAATCGTTTCTCTGGCGCGGCGTTATCTGGCTTTTCCATCTAAATGTACACTATCCAAGAGGCCAAAACCAGCAGAAGCAGAACACTCGTACGGCTCGCGAACAGCTCTCGGGCAGACACTTAAAAAACTTACACACACACATTCGGTCTATTCCTCCTTTGGAAAGGTTTATTTTTAACTCGTTTGCGCTCCGGCTACTCACCCACACATACACACACACATACACATAGGAGATACACATTAGGCTATGTGTATGGAGAGAGAGAGAGCAACGCAGATTTAGATCTAGATCAGGGAATTCTCCCATCATCGTCGTGGTCGTCGTCGTGGTACACCATGTAGTTGCATACGTATAGCCTATGGGGGTCCACACATTGGTCTCGCGCGCAAGAGAGATAAACAATGCATTCGTTGTGTCGTTGGTAAAAAAAAAATACCGTATATTGCTCACCCACGTTGTTGTTGTTGTTGTTGTTGCTGCATATATACGTTTACACGTGCAAAGCTCGAAGCTACGGATGTGTATACTAGGTGACCCGGTGATAAAATATATATACCCACGTATACCTACTTATCAGATCGAGATTTGATGCAAACTTAAAAAAAAAAGAAGGAAGGAACGACTATAGAGAGATTTGCGAGGGTGTATACACACTGTGCACGTATTTGTGCGAGTGGACGCGCAAGTGAAATTATTGAAGAGCTCGGGGCGGGTAACAGATATTAATACACAACGGAAGATAGCTCGCCCCCTCGTGCGCTTCTCGTTCTTCATCATCGTGTGTGTGTGCAGCACGCGCGTATTACTTATATTATGTATGACATCGCGAGTAGGATATAAATCGCGATTCGAGCGAGATGTGCACCTTTCGCATTCGAAATTGCCCGGGATATACACGAAGGCTAGAGCTCGCTGCTACCCCCGCAGGCGCCAGCGCGTATATACCGCGACATAGTAATTTTATTGAAAATTAGAGCGTATTAGTTCGGTAATAAACGTACACATATAGGGTAATTCACATCGCATTTGTCTCTCGTTCGCGAGCTTTATTACACACAGGATTCGTATTAATGGTGTGTCCATTTTCGGGATTTGATACCGTATAATATAATGCCAAGCGCGGTTAAAATTATACATATAAACGCGAGGCCGATACCGAGACTCTCCCGCGACGTATAGTGTCCATTACGATAGTTAACTTTCACAATTCTGCTAATTTCGGCGAGGAATCGCACGTGCATTTTCCTACCTTTTTTTTGTAAAAAAAAAAAAAAAAAACTGCTCGATCATCCGAAATTCGAAGAGCTCACGAGTACTAATATGTGTACCTGATGACCTGCACACTCGACAGAAACGAGCGAGAAGGAAAAAGAGAGCGAGCAAGACAAAAAAAAAAGAGGAACGGAAATGTGGCGATATTACAGGACACACACACATCACGCGTATAGACGCGAAAAAAAATCTGTAATTTTATAACCCTGAGCTATATCGGATGTTGCGAGGCGTTATCGCGCGCCGCGCGTGACAAAATGAAAAAAAAAAAGCTCCAAGTCACCGCCGAGGCATAAAACCGGTGTACGCTTCGATACACGGCATACTTTTTCTTCCATCGAAAGCTAAACCGCGGGATTTTTTTTTCCCCCAACAAAATGCAAAATCCGTGCGCGGTGGCGTCCGAGTGGTTCGAATCCGAGTTGAAAATTCCATGCCACGCGCTGCCCAGCTTTCACGGGAGCACGCGTGTGCGCACAAATAATCGAATATTATTTTCGAGATGTGTATATAAACGTATACGCAGGCGCACAGACCAGTCGAACTGCATCGGCAAAAAGTCAACGCCTTTTTTGAAATCGTTGCACACGCAGATATCACCCGCGCACGAGATCGTGAGATTTCGAGCGCGCGCGCAGGGCGCTCCGCAGCGGTCGAGTCGCGCAAGCACGCATACTGCACTCGTACTCACGCTTTCGATGCACACACACGCGCACGTACAATACATTTATTATATCTCGCACTCTCACTGCTGCTGTATTTTATATATAAATAAATATATAATGCATCGCATGGTTACGATTTCACAGAATGCCTTATCCAGTCGAGACGGCGCAGCTGTATATAGGCGTATACATACCGCATGCGGCGATAAGTGAATTCGACGCGGGCACTGCGTTTCACAGTGTATACAAGCCACGGTGCGGGTGCGCGGAAAAACTGGGCCAAAGATCCGAGGGAAAAATGTATCGCTCGAATTAATTTATGCGCTCGCGGACGTTATCGATGCGAATTACGTTCGATTCGAGAAATAATGCGCGCGTCAGAGAGAAAGAGAGAGAGAGAGGGAGGGCAAGTTTCGAAAAAAAAGCTTAATTACTTTATCGCACGCGCGCACATGCTGCTGCAGACTTTCAATTGCAGCGCGAGTATAACGATCGTGCAAGCCAATCCGATCGCGAGCGCATAAATATTCGGGCAATTTCACTCGAGCGCACGTACGATGTGTAGTACGTACGTACGTATGTACGTGCTGTGTACAATTGTTGCGCGCGAGTATGTAAAGCTTCGGCGTTACAACGTGTGAAATGAAAATTTTCCCTGCCCTGTACTACCACGAGGTCGGTATATATACAGTCGAGGTGTGGAAAGTGAGGCTTGACTGCGTAGCATTAAAAAAACAGCCCCAGTGCTGGTACATAAGCTAAAGCGACCCGCGCGATTGAACTGTTAAACGCGCTGCCAGACAGCAGCAATTTACGTGCGAGAGGCGCGTTATATATATACCACTGGTATAAACCATTGACCATTAAATGGATGGCTCGCATGTGCACGCGTTGAATGGAGACGTCGACGATTGCGGACACAAGTGGCGCGAGAATTCCGGCCGATATGATGAATTGCAATTAAAACGAGAGCAAATCTTTGTGACTTTATACGCGGTCACGAATTGCTGCTGCTGGGAACGCATACACGGACACACATTCTTAATTTATGTATGGATGGTGCTTAAAATGTGACGGAAAAAATATACGAGCGTTTTTTTTCAAGACGCAGCGCAACGCGAGCTTCAAATTTTGAATTTTATGAAGATGCTTCGTTCTTTCTATCAGCCCGTAGGTCCACACCGTGGTTTGTTTTTCCTACGACGGGCATATAGTCAAGTTTTTCATGTAGTACTCAAGTACAGTGTATTTTAAGCTGCTTATTTTTCAAGATGTTATAAATGAGATTTTCGTAAACAAATATACCACGTTAAACGGAAAAGTATATAGTGTTTACATTTTTCTAAACTCGATAGTTTTCGAGATAAGAGCGTTTCAAATATGAATAAATTTTGGAATTTAAAATTTCAGTCGTTTGTATCGTTTGTATAATTGATTGTTTATAAAAATCGTATAAACTTCTTCAGGAATGTCTATGAAGACCCCGAAGATTGTCACGGGGATACTGCCTTGCAGATATCATGAGTCTCTTGCTTTGATCTTGATCTCGCCGAGGCACTCGTGAAATTCGGTGCAAAATTCAACAGTTTGAACGAAAACAAAATATTCAACAGAAATTTTGCACCAGCCGAATTGGAGAATTATCCTCTCCCTTTGAACATTGTCGAGATGAAACAATTTTTGCGGTCAAACGTCTACGAAATGAACTTACACATGAAACTCAGAATGATTAAAGGTTTGATGAAAGTTCGAGGAAATGATACCGATTATCTGATCCCTGCAGTGACTAGTAAATCATTTCATTTTACTTATAAAATAGTTTTTATTTAATTTCAATGAATTTTTTTATTTTTAATTTAGGGATCGAACAAGATAAAGAAGCAATATTTTTCGTCATGGTGACTATTGGTTACTTATCTATTCATGATAAATTTGGTTTTTATATGAAAGAAGAAGTCATGGATTTCTTACGCCAACAATATGAACAATGCGAACAAAACCCAACATACGGCGTTGACTGGACCGAGGTTCATCGTCTAGCCCAAAATATATTGTCTAGTGATGTTGTGACGGCTGGTATTGCGAGTAAAGAAAAGATTAAGCTAACTGAAAATGTCTCACTCTATCAAATTTTCCAAATGAGTTATAAAAAGGGTTGCTCGATTTTGAGAGGCATATATAACATACCTCACTTCATAATGTCTTCAATATGACTGTCAAAAGACACATAGGAAACGTTTTAATGAGGCGGGAGTTGGAATTATTTGTAGCCGATCTTTTTATGACTGATCATTGCAAATTAAACTTGCCTGATGTTGTGTGCCGTACAGTTACCGAACGTATGGATGACGAGGACCTACTCCGCTTGTGCGAACAGACAACCGAAGATTTTCTACCGCCACCGTTTCCGATATGACGAAGTGAACGCCTGCGGGCCCGCAACGTCTAATTAATTAGACGTTAATTGTATAATGTACGAATGGGAGATTAATTGTAATGCAACAAACATAAATTCAATATGTTTATATGTACCGGTAAATTATTTATAAATGATATGCATGATGATGCATAATTTATCGTGATATTGTAATTAATGATACCGAGCATCAACTTTTAGTATTGATGGGTGATTTTTTTTGAATAAAATGAACGAATGAAAATTTCAAAGAACTTCTCACAGAAATAACTCTGATCATTTGATTTCATGTTATAAAGAAGTATGAAAATTGAAAATTTGAATCATATAAACTTGAACTATCGAGTTTCCATAATTAAATTATAAAAATAATTTTATTGCTACTACGTAATGATTTATTCATTAAAATCTTATAAACAATTGTCCACTCAAAAAAATTCGATTTAAGCGGTCCAAAATACGTTCGAAAGACTTTGATCGACCCGTTAAACAAAAAAAGGAAGAAGTTAACATTGGATCCACTGGACTCAAGTGCAGGTTTCCACACCTGATAAGCGCGTGAGCGAGCAAACGAGACGCGCCAAAAGTTTTACTTATGCGCTTGGGCGGCGCCAGCGCGAAGGCAGAGACAAAAACCAGTGTGCTGCATCCACGAGAGATCTGGGTTAATAGGCCGTTTCGATTCGCCGAGGTAAAATTGATAAGGGAGAGAGCAGCGACAATGCCAATATAGTATGAGCTTTGCCCCGAGACAAAAAAACACGTCTCCTTCGTATTTTATCTTTTATCGGTGCGCAGCTGGTTGACGAAAAATGTAAAATAAATTGCGAGCGTGTACGGCTGTACTTCATCGATTGAGAGAGAGAGAGAAAATTTTAAGAATAACAAAAACGCTGTTGAAATATAACCTTTGCGTAATCCAGCCCAAAAAATCTCTTACCCAATGGTCAAACGTGAGACAACAAGCGATATTGATGCGCAAGTACGCATTAGAAAAAGATAAGAGTGCATAAATAAGAAATAAGGGAAGTTGTGCGCCTGTATGCGTGTTCGAGAATGCACGCACACTCGTAATATACAGTATACTCAAGCCGATAATGGACAAGACAGGGCCCGATAGCGAGACGGCTGCTGTTCGCATATATACTGCAGATAAGAGCCGCGACGGAGTGCAAAAAATGATTAGATAAAGGCGCTTTTAAACAACGCGAGAGTGACTCGCGAGCGAGCGAGATATACACACAGCACTGCGCGAGATTTGCGCGCACATTGTGTCCCGCAAAGAGCAAAGAAATTCTATACATATAATACAATTTTTTCTTTTCAGGATCTATCGACACACAAACAGTCATGGAAGTAATAAAGATTATAACAATATAAACAAAGGAAAATGTGTTGCGAGTTTATTGCTCAACGAACGACGATTGATTTCCGCAGAAGCGACGAGGCGGCCGGCCTTTTATTTACCTCGAAACGCAAAAATTATAAGTTAAGACCTACACGTATTTTGCAGGGAATCGATCGACCGTGCAGCGCTAATTTGTAAACACATTTTTTTGTCCTCCTTTTTTTCTCTTTAACTCTGCTCGGCCTACGATGATTTCAATGGCGCGCGCGCGCGCGAGGAAAGGCCTGACAAATTGCTCGCGTCGTCCAAGCAAAATTATGCGCGACGGCTGAATGGCGCATAATACGCGAAAAGAAAAAAAGAAGATATGCCGTGTTTTTATTTTCCTTTTAATTGCATCAAAGTGTTTTTACTGCATTTTTCAATTAGAAACGCATACAGTATGCATACAGGCGTTAATTACACGGCAAGAATCTAGATTCAGAACGATATATATATATCGGTGCGGTTTTGCATTTCGTTCGTTTTCTTTTCTATTCCACATACTTACCTCGGGTACATACGCAAATATTGTACACTTATATATATCGAGTTATGTGGTCGGATAAGTGTATATTAAAATAAATACGCACGCGAGTGCGCACACGCACACTATTCCGAGTGTAATATGCATCGCGGCGATCGCGGAAGAAACTCGGAACGTTTTTCGCGCCAACATCGACGCGAATCTTGCAATGCACATAGAGAGAAATTCTCAAGTTCAAAGTCAAAATGTAAATCGAAAATGAAAGATTGTTTTCTCTCTCTCTCTTCCGACCTACGTTACTTTCGTACCTTTATTACTTGCCAAAATAACAGCCTCGATCTGCTGCGTCGAGAGTGTCAAATACGTGTCTGATTTTTTCAATCGTAATGTATCGTTATCAGAGCGGAAACGCAGGAACGTCGAACGCAACATCGACGAAATTTGTGCTTGCGGTCCCCGCACCCGAGGAAATCCCACATTTTTGTCGACCAAAAGAAGGAATTAATAAATAAATCGGTGCGCGTAGACTACAACGAGAAAGAAAGAGAGAGGAAGAGAAAAAATTGTTGCACAGACCGACAAAAAATTAGCACGCGTCGATTGGAAGCAGCGGCAACTCGTGCGAGTATACGCACTATATATTAACACAGCTGCTGCTGCTGCTGCTGCTGCTGCTGCTGCGTGCAACAGCCGAGAGACTGCTCTGGAGCAGCAGCATACGATCGCGAGAGCGCAGCAAGGCGACGGCGACGGTGGCGGTGGCGACCAGCGAAGGTCAGTGAACCAAGTACATACGCATACATGTATGAAAGAGAGCAAAAGAAAGATAGAGAAAGAACAGGCAGAATGTGCAAAACTTATATGAGCAATTCTATAAAAGAATCCGCGTTTTTAGAGACTTAAATCGTGATCAAACTTTTTTTTAATTTGTGCGCGTACTGGACTTACATAGCTATTTTTGAGTTCGAGACTTTAAAAAATTTTGCCTTTATATTTCGCTAGTTCCGTATTTGATATAGCCGAAATTGTCCTTCGATTATTTTGGTTGTGGGATGCCAAATACCAAAAAAAATCAACTACGTTTCCTTAAAATAATGCGTGAATAATATAAGTTCAAGTGAAGTGTTTCGCTCTTAGGAAATGTAATTAATCGGTCAGTAAATTTATCAAAATCTTTTGACGAGTTTGATCGACTTCACAAACTATTACGTGAGGTTTGTCAAAAATGAAGTAGTCGATTGAACGTTTACCATCCGCAAAAAAACACTTGGCCGATCGTTGCATGAAAAGGTAGGAACCAAAACTGCCGAAAAATTCGAAATTTAGCGTGATCTAGTTCGCGATAGTGAATAAAAATGTAATGATAAGAGGCACAAAATTGAGGTATGTCAGGGTTCGATTAACCCTGCTTTTTTTTGAACAAATATCTAAATTATTATTTTTTTTTTATTTAAAATGAATTTATTTTAAAAATCCATTTTAAAACAAACTTATAGTATTATTGTATTTGATGGATACGAACAAAATAAGTTCGAGTCATTAGTATAAATAAATAATTATTTATGGAATAAGAAATTGATTATCCTCTCGCAAGATTATACGCTACTCCTTATACTGACTAAAGATTGAGAAAAGGCGTTAAAATTTCTTCAGGTTTATTAGTTGCGAGGACAAAAATCGATTGTATCTGCAAACCAGACAATTATAGCACCTGTCGAAAAATTTATCTTTGCGAATTTTCTTGGCTTTTTTTCTTCGTCTGATCGAGATCGATGGAGGCCCAGATGTCTTTTCGCTTTCGTTGCTTGCGTCATCTTTGCGACATTCATAAGTTAATTCTTGGTGCCTTATTAAATTGCTTTCATTGACTGTTTTTTGGTGTTTAATCGTGTTGTCTTGATTCTCAAATGCCTCTTCGTTCTTATTACATGCGAAATTTATGCGACCATCATGTAATGCCTTTTGGTGGCTGATAAAATTTTTTGGATCTCTGAATTTTGCATAATCTTTGCGATCTTCGCGTACTGCTTCGTGAACCCTCAGATGCAAGATCAAACTCGATTTTCGTCCAAATTTTTTTTCGCATTTGTCGCATGCGTAATCTCTGAGGCCTCCGTGCATTGCTTTTTGGTGTCTCACCAAAATGCTTTTAGTTCCAAATGTCTTTTTGCAGTCATCGCATTCGTAATCTTTGCAAACTTCATGAACGGTTTTTTGGTGTCTGATCAACTTCGATTTGTACCCGAATTTCCTTTCGCACTTGTCACATGCGTAGTTTTTACGACCTTCGTGTACTGCTTTTTGGTGTATAAGCCAATGCGATTTTTGTGTAAATTTCTTCGCGCACTTGTCACATTGGTAATCTGTGCGATTTTCGTGGACTGCCTGTTGGTGTTTGATTAATTTAGATTTTTCTCCAAATTTTTTTTCGCATTTGTCGCATGCGAAATCTTTGCAATTTTCGTGTATAGTCTTGTGGTGGATAAGCAAATTATGTTTCTGTGTATATTTCTTCTCACACTTGTCGCACGCGTAATCTTTGCGCCATTCGTGTACTGTCCTTTGGTGCTTTAACAAATCCGATTTTTTTTCAAATTTCTTCTCGCACTGGTTACAAGCATAATCTTTGCGACGTTTGTGAACTGTCATTTGGTGTCTGAGAAAATTCTGTTTCAGTCCAAATTTTTTCTCGCACTTGTCACATGCAAAATCTTTCCGACCCTCGTGAACTGTCTTTTGGTGGATAAGCAAGTACCATTTTTTTTCAAATTTCTGCTTGCACTTGTTACATTCGTGATTTTTTTTACCTTCGTGGACTACTTTTTGATGTTTGATCAAATTATCTCGTTCTCCGAATTTCTTCTCGCAATTGTTGCATGCGAAATCTTTGCAACCATTTTGTATTGTCTTTTGGTTCACCAACAAATCTGATTTTTGTTCAAATTTCTTCTCACCGTTGTCGGATGCGTAATCTCTTTGATTATTATGAACTATCTTTTGGTCTCTCATCGAATTTGGCTTTTGTGTAAATGAATCTCGACAAATATCACTAACGTAGCTTTTGCCATTTGAAATAACGATTTCGTGTTCACTCAAGTTATCTTTTGCAGTGACTGTCCCAGATTCCTTATCACTTTTATCCATTTCGGTGTCTAAATGGATTCTTCTATTTAATGTCACAGTAAATAATTATCAAGTAAAATTTTTCTTTTGGTAGTATTCTTGTATCATGAAACTGTGAAAGACAACACTCAAAATAATTTGTTTGAATGAGCACATGTTCAGTGTTCAAGAGGTATTGTCAAGATTATTTATGAATATATTGTTTACAATCAAATCAAAAATTTATCTATTCATACATTGTCCTCATATACTAGGTTACTTTATTTAAATGCGACCCCTTGAACCAAAGCTGTAATGTCTCTAATTAATTTTAGTACCTTCATTCATCATCGATCACTCGATCAAAACAGGTCGTTTTGCCATTCACCTGCGTCATCGCTTTTTTATTTATTCTTCAGCTGCACCTACATTACTACAATCGGTAAGTTGTGTTTAAAGTATTTATACTTATTTTAAATTGATAAAAATTGTTTGAACGAAAATTTCACTATTATTATTCAAGAAGCAATTAAATTATTTTATATATAATTATACTTTTACGCTGAAAAGTAAATTCTTAGTTCTAAGTACTGGTTTACTGGAACTGAATGAATATTCTTTTAATCAACAATTTTAAATCATTTGAATTAAGGATGTTGGGGACATAATTGAGTACAAATCAGCAACTCTCAAGAAACAGCGGATAACGGGTACTTGATTCGACTAGATGAGTCGGTGGTACATGCGTGCGACCGCGTCACTACCAATATATTTAGTTAGTTTTAATTTATTTAGTTCAAATAAATCAATGTTCAGAACAAAGAATTTTTAACTATCTAAGCTCTTATTATGGTGTGCCTGACCACGTGTTCGACACGACATAAATATACAGATTCTCACTGACACTGCTAGAATACGTAATATTTTAGTAAAAAAATCTCTAAGTATTTGCGTATCATAATTTATTTATGAATAATTCGAATAATAAAATTAATTACAGGGTTATTTTTTCAACTTAAACTTAAAAGTTTCCGAAAACTGAGTAGTGCGCGATAACAGGTACATTTATCCTCCACATCCCTTTTAAAGCTTGTAATGTGATTAGGCAATTTTTCAGCAAAAGAAAGTGTGTAAAAATTTATACTTTTAACCAGCTAGGTATCGCGATTAGACGATCGAGCCTCGCCAAGTTCATCTCGGCCTTTTGGCTGAGAACACAGTGCAATTGTATAAAATTTTCATCTCAGCTCACTATCGATTACACTTGTAAAGTTCGTAATGTGACCAGGCAATTTTTCGGTCATTTCAATTTCATTTTTAATTTATTCATTTTAATTTCAGCTATGAATCTATCAAATAAACAAACAAAGACACCAATTACTTTATTAACAGAAATAATGAGTAGGAAACGTTTGTTCCCCAATTTCCAACTTATCTATGATGGTGGTTCTGGTAGCAGTACATTCACAGTTAGAGTCTCGTGTGATGGATTAAAAGCCGAAGCAACAGGCAGAAGCAAACTAGATGCCAAACATAATGCTGCAAGAGCTTTGTTACAAAAAATAGCTGAACGTAACAACTTGCCACAATTGCTTTCAAGTGTCACTGAATCACCCGTTCGCACTCCCCAAGCAATTGACTTACCTAATTCCACTCAATTACCATTAGACAAGCCCTTTTACAATGCAGTTGGCCATTTGATGGTAAATATTATTTTAAATTATTTTTCCGAAGTTATTGAATTAATTTTTTCCTTACTTAACATTTTCTATTTCCCAGGACCTGTGTGCTATTAATCATTTAAAAGATCTTAAATATGAAACAATTGATACAGTTGGGCCCGCTCATGCCAAGATATATACTGTTGTATGTACAGTTTCTACTTTCCGTGGAGTTGGAATTGCTCTAACGAAAAAAGAAGCAAAGCACAAAGCTGCAGAAGAAATGTTGGCCAAAATTTCTCATCTCGTATCGGATAGCTGTTTTGTTAATAATAGAGAATTAACTGAAAAGGAAATGGAAAAAATGGATGCAAGTATTGCAAAATTAATAGGAAAAAAATATTCGAAATTATCTGTTTTACGCAAGGAGAACATTCAAATTTCTCCAATAAATTGGGGTTTAAACTTCATCAACTTTTATACAGCATACACTGATATATTTGAAGAGAGGCAAGGTGAAGTTTTGACTACATTAAAAGTACTAAGAGATATGTCGTCTCAGAATCAGCTTGATAATGGTGTAGAAAATGTGGTAGATAATCTTAAAGAACTATTCAATTCTTTGGATTTTACTTTTGATTCTTCAGAAATTCCATCAAATGACCCATCCAAATATATCACTTGTACCCGATTGTATTGTTATCCTCCCGTTAATGAAATTGGGGTAGGTAATACAAAAACAGAATCCCAAGTGAGGTCTATTGAAAATTTTCTCGATACTTTAATTGATTTTATGGAACTATAAAATTATATGAATTATTATATATTATATATTAAAAATTTAAGTTATGTAAGGAAAATTAATATTGGTAATAATGGTTAAGAATCAAGTTACAAGTCTAGTTTGGTGACAATATCTTCGAGAAATGTTTTAGTCCTATAAAATCAAATACTTCAAAAAAGTTTTCTCACATTCATAATTATATTCATATTGATATGTTTTAAATTAAAACTTTTTCACACTAATCTGTGCCATGAAGTTTTTAATTACTTTTTGTTCAATTCAAGCATCCGTTGTAAGGCATCAATCTATAAAGTAAAACCTATAGCTTAAATCGATAAGAGTTACACCTATAATTCCGTGTCAAGTGACAAAAATTTTAATTTCCAATCGTAGGCTCCATTTTCATTTTTCATAGGATTTTTCATAGAATTGCTCGTATACAGTTGCTGAGTGTGTATACTGCCTGCAGAGGAGCGTAGGCGCGATCCGATCGGAATGCCCTTTTATTAAATTATCACGTACGTATAATAGAAGACGGAAAAATTGAGGCTGCACTCTCTCTCTACCATAGATATAGCTTAGCTGGGTGTGCTAATGAATGAAAAATGAATCGTGAACGTATTAAATAGAGAGTCCGAGAATCAAGAATATCGTCATCGTGCTGTGCAATAGGGGAATCGCTGGCAGCGATTGACGCAAAAAACGCGTCTATTAGTGAAAATATTGCAACTCTTTGAAATGAAAAGTCTCGCGAGCGAGTGCGAGCTTATCGGCGCGCCGTGCACCGTTCGAAACAAATGACCCCCGAGATACGACACTTTCATCTCCTCGTAATGCGCTATTAATTTGTTCGATACAGTCGTGCGCGTTATATATATATATCTCGAAGTACATGTTACGTTCGCGAAAGTGCAATGAACCGTATAAACACGCGGCAATGATCGTGTCTGCGAGTCTCAGCTGTTGTTGTCGCGCGTTAGCGCGGGTGGAGTCTCTTTAAAAATATCCTCCTCTGTCCCCTCTACCCGTGCGGCCCCGATGAAACGCTTTGAAAATAATGTTTATTCAACGCGAGCGTCGACGGCATTCATTGAGCTGTTGCACGAGAAAAGGCGTGCGTGTGAGGCCAAGGCAAAATTACGCATTATATATAGCGAGACGTTGCGGACATCGGAATTAGGAAAACTTTTTCGCTCGTATCGTTGCTGGACTAGCACGCAATGTCCAGATGTAAGAGTGCTCGATATGCTGAATGATATACTTCCATATTCCATACAAAAACAATGTCGAAAAATTGACAATGGCTCAATCGTCGCGTTCGACGCAATGAAATCTCGCATGTCATCGCGAGTACCTATTTATTATATTACACTTATTATAATGTGTATTGCAATTGGGCTCATGCGTTTACGATGCGTTGCATCATTTGCTCGCTGCGAAGGAGACACATTCGCTGACCCATAGTCGACGACAAAAATGACATAAAACGTACTTTTCTTTTTCTTTTCTACGAGTGTAAGCACGGGCAATTACTGCAATCTTACAAGCGTATCACCACGCAACACTCGTCGACGACTCTTTCGTACACATAGTGAGCTTGATCACACACACACTGCACCGAGGCAGTCCACCACCATGCACCACGCGCGGTATTAACCCACTAACATAATTCTCTGTGCCCACCGTAATATTTTCCAATTGCATTTTCATTATTTCAATTTTTTCTTCTTCCACTACGTCGTCCTCTCGATTCCCTTACGTATATATACGAGAGACGTTTAGAAAAGAAAAAAATGAAAAAGTATTTGGCCTGATTCGGTGCGCACCTATAGGCCGCAGCGGCACATATTACAGTGGACGCTTACACGCGAGCGAACGCATAAACATCGACATTTGATGTGGGAGATCTCGCGCAGGAAAGCTTTTCTCTTTTTGATTTAAAAGCTGACCGAGAGAGACTACTTCCGCGATATTATTAGCTTTGTGAATAAATCACTTATCTTGCACTTGCGAGCGTGCGTGTGTGTATGCGCGAGCGCCTTCAATATCAACTTCGTTGTTATTTCTTTTCTCTCTCTCTCTCTTTCTTTAATGCGCCGCTTACGCGAGGCGGTTAACTCGCGCGCGCGCGCGCGGCGGGGGGATTTATGGCATTTTCAATTGAGAAATTTTCCATTTTTCGAGACGCGCTCGTCGGCGGCGGCGGCTGCAGTGCAGGTTTTGCGCTATTTGGGTCGACGAGCTCCGAGACTCGCCTATAATAATAAGTAGTATATACGCATCTGCACGCTGGAGGATCGAATCTCCGGGCACGAATGTATAGATTTATGCACTCGTGGGCAGAGAGAGAGACTTTGATTGTTGACTCTGCAAGCGCAAATTGGCTACGATCGAAAAGAAAGAGAGAGAGAGAGAAACAAAAGACGAGAGGAGGAGAATATAATTTCATCGATGAATTATGCATTCTATTAGGCTAGCCAAACTCGCTATAGTACCATTACGAACATTCTTTTCTCTTGCTTTTTACGCGAAACAAAAAAAGCTTATAACGCGTAAGCGGATAATGAGATACGAGCTCGAGAGAGTCGCGCGCGCGCGCGGCCCGACCTTGTCGTCGCGGTCTGCTCACCTGTGCCTTTATTCGATTATAACATATTGTACGTACTCGAGAGGCAAACAATAACATGGCAATAACAGCGGCAGAAACAGCAGTATAACGACGACGACTCGACGCAGAGGCAGCTTTACACACTTACATATAGGGCAAACGTACATTAGCTCCTCGTGTGAATGAGCAAAAAATTTATACTCGCGTACGTAATGTCAAGTTTGAAAGAGAGAAAAAAAATCAAATCAAAGCTCTCTTTGTACGTGCACCAAGCTCCGGTGCAGTCTCTCTCTCTCTCTCTCTCTCGCCGATATCCAAAGTAATTTTCCTAAGAACTCCCACTTGTGCGCAAAACGTTCGATACGAATAAAACTCCAGGCGCATGCATATATATACGCGATATTATGCACGCCTCGCTCACACACATATATATTTATTATATACTACAATATACGTATGTATATCGTTCGTTTTACTCGCGCGAATCTTTACATAAAAATATCACCGAAGGGTCAATAAAAAAATAAGAATCGAGACCTCGGAATCGATGCAGCCTCAGCCTTAGCGACGGCAGCAGCAGCAGCAGCAAGCAGACGCCGAACGGCGCTATACACTTATAAAATCGCTCTCTGTCTCGGATAAAAGAGAGAGAGAGAGAGACAGAGAGAGACTTGGAGCGATTCAACGGCTCGCACTTGTTCTTGAAGCGCTGCAGTGGCGAGTCTGCTGCAGTGCCTCGCGTTGCTGCTGCGGCTGTGGCACGACTCGCGCGCGCGCGCGCGAGAGCCATCATCATCTTCAAAGGCCAAGGCAAAAGCTGATAAAATCCATCTTCTTTTCTTTTCTCTCTTCTCTCTTTCTCTCTCTCTCTCTCTCTTTCGTCCAAGCCGAGAACCTTTTATATAAATACGTCAGCGCGAGTCACTTTCGCCTTTTGGCGTACAACACACATGCATGTTCTATAATATGTACGCGATGCTGCTGCTGCTGCTGCTCTATGCCGCGCCTGCACTTTATACATCGCGTATGTATATAAGCGCTATCTCGATAATTAAACCTCGTATTCTCTCTCTATCTCTGTTACTCTTCTGCGTTTTGCCTCGCCTCGCCATGTCTATATCCGCGATATCTTCTTCGTTTGCTTCTTTTTCAAATAAGTAAGCACACGTACTCGCACACCAGCACATCGCGCGCTTGCTTGCTATGCTGCTCTCTCTCTATCTCTCTCGTTCTCTGGCTCGTTTCCGTTTCGTCAAATTCCGGCTAAAAATCTGCACTCTGCAGAACTCGAATCGTAACGAAACGGTAATAAAAACGACTCCGAAGAACGTGTGTACGTTCTGATCCGCCGCCACCACACACCGCCGTGTGCAGCAACGACGCGCGTTCGCATGGGCATTATAACAATTTTCTAAGAAAAAACGCACGGGCGCGCGCGAAACGACGACGAAGCCCAGGATGAACTTTTTTACGCGAAATTTTAGGTGTTCGCTCATCGTAGTAAGAGAGAGAGAGAGAGAGAGAGAGAGAGACGAGTCGTTGCTGCTGCTGCTGCTCCCCTCTCCGTGTGGTCGTTAGCCTTTGTTATATCCTTGCACACAAACACACAGGCGAGAGCCGTGCATTTGCTCTCGCTCGAGGAGACGGACGCACATGGACACATAAGCCACGCTATATAGACACACAAAGCTCGTCGCACTATAAGGCCATTGTAATATTCGTAAACGCGCCCTTCTTTGGGATGCCGGACGACGCGCATCTTACATACGGAATAAATACGGCGAATTTCATGCGTGTGCCCCCCGACTGCGTTTTAGCAATAATAATGCGCTGTGCGGCTCCATATATATATATGCTTCTCTCTCTCCCTCTTTCTATATGTGCGCGTCTTTAACGTTACATAGATAATATACGCATAAACATTCGTGAACGCGCATAGTATATAGCTATTAAATGTGTGCGTGCGCGTATGCGAGCTGAAAAAGTATGAATCAATGCGTTTTCAAGAGGGGCGCCACGGCGAACTTACCATTAGGACTTCATCGGTTCTCGAAATGTATTATATAGCCACTGTATATAGAACTGTATGGGTGTGCTGCTCGCCATGTGCAATGGTCGTCTCGCGATGAGTCAAGTCCTTCGACTCTTATATACACACACACCGAAGGTATACCTAAAGCGATACATTTGCAATTTTCGCTAATTACATCGCTATATACGCATTATCGTTTTTTTTTCTACTCATACTCATTTTTTTGATTTTCCTCTACTCGACTCCATTAAGCGCGAAGAGTAGTAGCAAATGTAACGAGAGCTCGAGCGACAAACGAGCGCACGATGTATTTATTTAATGACAAACAAACGACGATGTGTTTGCCCGACTCGTTTAACGGATTCGAGCCAAATCGAGTGTTTATAACAGACACTCGATGGATTCGCATTATACAGCAATTATACGCGTTAGAAAAAGAGTAGTGGAGTAGTTAACGGATTCTCGCTGACGTATATCATCGAACGCCCACTTAAGTAGACGGACACAGCGCGTTCGAAAATTTTGAATTTTAAACAATCGGTTATCGGTTAATCGCTTTCTTTCTCTCTTCCAATCGATCGGGAATCAGAATCGCGGTAATTCCCGCGTGCTGCTGCTGTCGTGTCAACCGTCAATTTCGATAATTAAAGAAATAAAGCCTTTTCGCACACGACACGCGCACCATTAACGATACGTACGTACATCATACGCGGAGTGTTTGCACGGACTCGTTATATATTTTTTCGTTAAACACTGCCTGTCATTCTTCGCGACGCGATTTTCTCTCTCTTCTTTTTCGTATTATTTCGCTCGCTTTATCGCGAGATAAAGACGCCCGCGTGTGCGTATAGTATAATATACGCAAAATAGTGTAAAAAAAAGTCACGCACACGTGATTTATCATGCATCGTCATCGTCGTCGTCGTCGTCGTCGCTCGTTACATGTATGCAAAAAAGCACGTAAATATCTATACGTATATGCACAAAATGCAGTATACATCGTAGGCGTCTTTATACACAATACTTACACATATATCGCGCGCGCGTTCGCGAGTAAATAAAAGAAAAAGGCCGATGCGAAGGAGGGAAGGATACATTATTATATATATTCGTACCTATAAATTCTTCCCAACTGATGGAGGCATCGGAGTCGGGATCTTGATGATCCTCGTCGTCGTTGTTGCCGACTCCTGCTGCAGCATCGTGAGCAACAGCATCCTGTACCGCGGCAGCCGCAGCAGCACAACCACCACCACTGACACTACTGCGATCACCACCACCATAATCGATGCGCTCCTTCATCTCGACTTTGTTGTCGTTGCTGTGTATTTTTTTCAACTCGTATCTTATTGATGTATCGCTGTTAATTTGTAATGAAGCACAACAGCGGCTTACAAACGCACTTATGTATACACGGAACACAAAAACTAACGAAACTCACAAACAAACAAAAACCATCCACAAAACTGTACGAAGTATACGAGAAACAACGACGGCGACAATTTCAGCGAAAAATGACGAGATAGAGCGAGAGAGAGAGACACACACACGGGAGCGTATAGCGCGCAAAAGGCAACGCGATAAATGTCGTTATCACCGCGGCTCTCGACTGTATGTATCGATGCGCCCACTGTTACATCTCATCGATATATTATTAACGAGCACCGGGCGCAGATTTTCCCTCCTCGTTGTAATCGCACATTTTTAATGCACACACGCGCGTCTTCGGGTGTACAAAGAGAGAGAGAGAGAGAGACATCAATGATACATCGTCATCACGCACGCGGATGATAACCGGAACGAGAGAGACACGATACACGATGGCGATGCGACGATGATGCCGTCGCCGCTGCGCGAAACTCACTACTACTCTCAATATATATTGGCAGCGGTCTCTGCACACGGCAGATCGGAGCGCGAAACTGGCTGCTGGTGGCAGGCAGCTATATCGGCGGCGGCGGCGGCGGCGGCGGGAGACGGCACCACAGTCTCGGAAAACCGGCGTGTCTCGCATATAGTAGTATAGTAAGCACGCTGCAGCTGTGTGTATACTATATAGCGCGTGTGTGACTATACAAACGTGAAATTTTGCGTTCGCCAATCGCAGCCGGTGTATAGCACGCCGCGAAATTTTTTTTAGACTCGCTGCTCCCCCCTCCCTCTCCCTTCGCCAGCGCTCGCCCTTATGCATACACACTATACTCCGTAGTAGTCAGCCGCACATCCACGCACAGACGATACACGCGAGGTGTGTCTGCGCGCCAAACGAAGAGGGGGGGAAGAGAACACGATCGCAAATCCGAGTCTATATACTTCGAGCCGAGATAAGACGCGCGGATCTCTCTGATATTATACTGTGCTATACAAAACACCGATAGACATCAATTAGCGAGTCGTACGCGCGGATCTCGATGTTTTTTTTTAAATGAATCGTCGTTACTTTTTTTGTAAAATGACGCGTTCGAAAATAATAATCGTTGATTTACGAATTGTCATCGCTCGCGAACTTTTACTACATCCGATCGGGCACGCGAACCGAGAGTTGATTGCGATTTATCATCGCCCTGCGCTGAGCCGGTATTTTATTTAATCATTTAAATTCGTATTGTATGCAGTCCGTGACGAATTGCTGCAAGTGAAAAATTTGTCAAAAATTCGCGCGAGAATGGTATACGAGTAACATTATTACTTTTTTTTTTTATTAAATTTTTTACGTCAAGGGAGTAATCGTATATTTCTCGCGACGGTTTTATAATAATAACGGTGTTCGGTGCAAGACTTCCGTGGGAAAAGTGTTTAGGTCCTATAACTTATATCGATGCGGCTGCTTGAGACGTACACACACGCACACACACATATATGTAATATGCATGCATGTATAATAACCGGTCGCTCGATATGTAACACGAGACCGAAAGATCGTAACGTTATACGCGTTCCTGACCCCCTGCGCACGTTTATGCATATAATATTCGCGCGCGCGTGTGTGTGTATATTTGTCCTGCATTATCATTAGGTGTGCGGGTACATTATAATACGTACACGTCCATAAATGCATGCATACAGACGCGCGCTGCGGCAGGAATTTCGGTTGACTGTAAAAATTTTGCGCGCCCGAGGAAGAGCGTAAAAAGAGAGTCTAGAGTTACAACGCGCAGGAAAAGGCGGCGACTGGATGCCGCACTGGATTCTAAAAAAAAGGATTCGAAGGAGGTAGGGGTATGTGTAGGAGTCAATGAGAAGATATAACCAAGCAATTAGTTGAAATAAATGCACCTTGTGAGTCTATATTTGATTTGTTATACAGTATATTGTTAATAATACACATGATACGCCATATAGAGCTTTTAATGTACAAAAGAAGCCTACGAGTTAATCCTCCTATCTGATAGTTTTTATTATTTTTTTTTTCTGCATTTTTTAAAACTTTTTATTTTTCATGTTTTTCGCTTACTTATTTATTCAATCGCAATAAAAAAGCATCGGTTTTAAATAATTTCTTTTGCCAATATCGATGCGGAGAACGTACTTGGGAAGATTCGGTTTCCATTGCGCTCCTGCATCTTGCGTAATAATAAAACAAAAATAAATCAATGATCATCAATCTTTCGCTTCGTATCACTTTACGAACTTATAACGTAATTTTCACAAACACAATACACAATTTTCTTATTTTTATCCTCGATTACGTAGCATGATAATGTGGCACAGGTACGCTCAACTTAACAACCGATAACGCATCTATCACAAATGAACAATTAAATTGTAAAATAGTTTTACTTCTTATTTGATTGTATTTACAAAGGAAAAAAAAGATAGCGACTTTCTCGACGTAGTGGGAAGCATTTTTTCCGTACTAACCATTACTGGAAGTTCATTGGTTTCTTTTTTTTTTGAATTCATTTAAATTCATTGATGAATATTTATAATTTGTTCATTATAAATTTTGGGCAGTATTCATTTTTGTCCTCCACTGAAAATTGATCTTATGATTAATAGTAACTACTTAAAAATGCTAAGTATTAAAGGCCGTGATTTCGGCTGTTTTTTATGACTTCAATCGTGAAAAAAATTTACGAATTAAGTATTATCAACCATTTTTTGTTTTACAAAATTGATCGTATTGATAGAACAAAAATAAAACGAATTTCATTATTTTGTACAAGAAAAATTTACTTGAAAATTTGATTAATGCTCAATCGATAATTGAGCGTATAGCGTATAAACTCTTTCAATCAGCTATTATTTGACAATTGTTCGATAGAAAATGATAAAAAAAAATTAATCGAAATAAAAGTATAGATGTGTGATCACCAAGGCGCTGACATTTTGCACCTCGGTAAGGCAGTCTTACGAATGAGTGGCGAGAAACACACGAGTCTTAAACATATTGTCCTCTCGCAGGAACGTCGACACGATTTTAACCTAATCATTAAATAATACTAAATATATTATTTTTATGTGGAAATTACCCGTGATGGGCTTATCGCTAATTTCCTCACGTAATACGAATCTCGAATTTTTAATACGATAATTTCCTCTTTTTCGAGCTAGGTTTTGATTCAGTCTGTGGCGCTTTTCTTGCCGTCTGATTATTCTTTCCTGGAATATAAGTTAAATTGATTAGGTCATAGCACTTGCTACACGGAACCATATCGCACTCACTTTTTTGAGCCGTTCGAGACCGCGTAGCTCTGTATCCCAACTTTGCATTGAGCTCTTGTATTATGGCTACATTGCTCGCAAACTTTCTTTCATATATTTCTTCCATAGCTGGTGTCATCCACCTTGGTCTCAGATCGTTGTTTGAGCTCTTTTGCTTTATCGTACCGTTCTGCCTGTCTTTCATTTTTTGCATTACGGCAAGCATGGCATACGTGGGTATGCACGGTGGCGTTGGCGACGGAGGTGGCGTGAGAGACGACGGAGGGATCTGTGCGGTAATTCTGGCAATTTTGTCGGGATGACAGGCCAACACCGACTCCCAACTGAAGTCCTCGTCGCTGTTCATGCGTTGCAGAAGAGGTTGCGACGTACTCCTGGTTATTCGCATTTCTCCGTTGACCGGTTTGCAAGGCCTTCGCTCGGGTAAATTTAAGCTTTTCTGAGCCGCGAAAACCACCGAGTTCTCGTTTGCGTACGAAAATCTTTTTCCAAAGAGTTTTTGGAAGTTTAAGTTCTCTCTAAATAAACTTCTTAAGTACGAATAATCAGGTCTGGTTTCAAACTTAAGACTGACGATGTATTTCATGTAATTTGAAATATTTTCTAAAACAAATAAAAATTGAAAATTAGCTATGTGACACTAAATAAATAAAATAATTAAACCTTAAAATGGGGGGAGTATTCATTACCTGGAATATTTTTGGTTCCAAAACATTTTTTCATAAATAAGTCAATGTTTTTCATATAGTATTCCTTTTGTTCATGAATTTTTTCTGGATCTGTATTTGCAGGTAAATCACCTTCCTCTTGCTCCCATGGTAATCTGCCACACATCCATTGAAGTATATTATAACCTAAAGTTTCCAAATCTCCTCGTCTAGAGTGAGCTAATGAAAAAATAAAGATAATTAAAATAAGCATTTCAAATTTGATAATATACAATTCTATAATAATTTGTATGTACTTACTTCCATGATGAGCATCTCTGCAAGTGTATACTAAAGTGCCTTCATGTGCTCTTCTCTCATCATGTTCAAATGGTTTGTGAACATTGTTACTGTTTCTAAACCTATATGCTAATCCATAATCAACCAAATAGGCTGGCGTTTTTTCAATATCTATATTATTATTATCACGGCTTGTTTTCTTTAACAAAATATTGCATCCTTTGACGTCTGAGTGGGCGTACCCTTTACTGTGAATATACTCTAAAGCATATAGCTGTAAATAAAAGAACAAGGTCCATTATCTCTACATTCAATATCAATTGTAAAATCAATAATAGATTCAAGTTAAAGAAAGGATAATTACCATTTGAACTGATAAACTACTTATGATCTTCTTTGACAACTTTCTGCCGTTAGATCTGAAAATTTTGTCCACATCAATACCATATCTTGGTATAACTAAAAATCTGTATCTTGCGCCATTGAAGTGATGTGATCCAGATCCTTCATATGTTGGTATTCCAACTTGTCTCAAGTTCTGTGATTCGCACCAATCTTCAACTATAGGAAAATCAATCAAGTTAGTATAAATTAATTTATACTATTTATCATACAGGAGACACAGATTTAAGCCCTAAAATCAAAATTTTAATCCCCTTTTCTGAAACTTCTATTAAATATTTTTCCAAATGCTCTATGGCGATCTTTATGCAGATGTTCTTAAAGAAATCTGAACCCCAGCTGAAAATTCAAACTTTTAAACAAGTTTTCTTAAACTTTTACTAAATAGTTTCACTTTTACTTAATAGTTTCAGAAAAATTGTTTGAAAATTTAAGTTTTTAGCTGAGGTATGGATCAATTTTGCTATAGAGCCTTTTAGAAAATATTTAGTAGAATTTTTAGAAAATAGAATTAAGATTTTGTCTTTTTGACTAGTTTCTATAAACCCATAATGTACTTTTAAATTTATACTTACTCATTTCTGCTTTAGCTGCTCTAATGTAGAAGTTCATTTCAACAAAAAGAGGTCCATTATTATGAGGTTCAATTTTGATGACGTACTTTGCTTTTTGTCCAACTGGTTTCTTAATATCACTTGAGGCTAGAGTACAAAGAACATTTAAAATAAGTTTTTAATATGAGACTGAAAAATAAGTTGACAAATTATTTTGATGATTTACTCAATCTTACCTAAATATACATCACCGAAGCCTCCGGATCCTATGGGTTCGCCTATTCTCCATGATTTTTTTGTTATGTCAGTCAAGATTTCACCAGGAGGTAATTTCTCTGGCAGTCGACAACCATAAGCAGCTACTCTTTGAGGAATTGATTCTTCTGCCATGCGTTTTGGGGCCATGGTAGTTATTTGAAGTCTTTATGTTACAAATAGATGGTTATAAAATCTGAAATGAAAATAAAATGCTGTCAAACTAGTAATAAAAAAATTTTATATGTGAGTATTCAATGTTGTTGTATACAAATTGAAGTATTTTAAAAAATTATGTCAAAAAAACTGAACGCATGTCTAAAAAAACTTCATCTTCTCATCGCGAACGAAACAGCGAAGACATCTTTGCCAGTATCTACCATCAACACTAGTCACACAAACATACTGAATTTTTTCATTGGTTCCAGAAAGAGTTTTGAGGTTATGTAATTTAAAGGTAAGACGTAAGGTCAATAGCACAGACAGTCGCCTCCACCGAGATGCAAAAGGTCGATGGTATAATGGGAAGCATTAAAACGAAAGAGAGAGAAGGAGAGCAAATGTGTGTGTATGTATGAGAGAGAGGAAGATAAGAATATGATAAAAAGCCCTCGGCGTGAATTGAAATATATGCTCGCGAATGACGTTTGGGAGAACAATAACAATAACAAAAATCGAACACAGCAAACAGCCACTGAGCTGCTATGGAGAGGAGGCTTACTTTTATAAATAATATCAGGCCAGAATGCACAAACCATTTATACACGGATACAGCTCAAAGAGTCATATCGTATACGTGAAAATGTCGATGCACACACCTGCATTTCACTGAGAGAGACAGAGAGAGACGGAGAGAAAGATGAGAACAAGCAGCTGACGATGATGTGTAAAACTATTATAAGATTATGTGCGTGCAACGAAGCAACCTCGAGGCAAAGCAAACACTTTTTATATCGTTTTTTTTTTTTTTTTTTTAATGAAATTGATGTATACGTAATAATGAGTGAGTCGGTGATCGCTACAATCGTTGCGTCTACGCTTAGCAGATAAGCAGAAATTATATACGATTACGATACGATAAATGACGAAAAATAATTAATAGCAAATGATTTACTCACTCTTAATTGACAATTCAGTAGAGCTCAACTAGCACAGCTCAGAGTCTCTTTAACTGATTTCCACGAGGTCAAACGCACGAGGTTTGAATAAGCTGGTGTTTAGAGAAAAAGTGAGATGAGAAAATTCGGGGCCCACTATTTATAGGTATACAGTGCACTAATGTGACTTTCACCCACGCAGTGCACTGGGCAGCGTCTAAACGTGTGGTCAATTGTCACCGTTTTCGAAAACTCCTTCTTTAACCAATAGAAAGCAAGCCTGATCAAGAAGACACGGAGCTAGCAACAGCCATTTTTCTCGAAAAATACAGTAGAAAGGCTCATCATTTCTCGCTTCTGCTTCTCTCGCTTCCTTCGTACGCTGCTACTTGCTGCTGCTGCCTTCCTTTAAGACGTGTAATGGTTGAGCTGCAGCGCCGGATGATATTATATTATACGTGCGTGCATATATATGTTAAATTTCTCTCTCTCGCAATGACTCTCGAACACTCGGCTGTTATATATCCTATATTCTACCTACTCACGGACTTTAAACAATTCGATCTATATCCACACCGTATGTGGTACGAGACTAAACACACACACATACACACACCCACACACTCGCACGCGAACTCTCCGACAATTGTTAACCAATTTTTCGTTATTTATTATTTAAAAGGCGAGAGCAACTGTTACATTATACACATGCACCGATATTTAACACACCAATATACACTAGCGCCGGGCCAGCAGTGCTCCGTTTACGGAACACATAAAGTCAGTTCCGATGAGAAGCAGAAAGAGGGAGAGAGAGCGATATACGGTGCAGCACCCCCACTTTCTATCTCACTCGCATATAGTAGTCTTTATACTGCAGCATTTAAAAGTTTTACATGTGTGCGCGTGTGAGTTTGAACGGTCGGTCAGCAGCAGCGTACAGGTGTTTGTGTGTGAGTGTCGAGCTGCGCGGTGGCGGCGCCGATTGCGAACTCGGAGCGCATCTCAAAATGTCCGGCGCTTTAACGCGCGACGACGGCTGCTGGGCGCCGTCGAACACGCGCGGCGCGATTTTTCGTAAACAAACGATTAATGTTTTTCTTTTTTGATGTAGAAATTTTAAACTCGTATCGAAGATCTGAATTCGAGGCCAGATGATAAAAAAGCAATGAGAGTGATTTAATTATTTATGCACGTAAGAATGAAATCCATTTTGTTATATACAACATAATAGCAGTTGTTACCCTTTCAATTATTGTCACTAAATGTGTCAGACTCAATAATGAGATTCCTCCAACGCAGCGAAACGAAATTTATCTTCCCTAACAATTATATGTGATCACTCGTGTTGAATAAACACTTTTCACTTCTGTGGCGATTTAACAATTCGAAGGATTAAAATGTGTGTGTCACTGATTTACCGAATTACTTGGATTCTGTCTTCCTTACTTGGAACTGATTGCTCATTGTGAACAATTAAATTAAAGAAAATTATTTTCATGCCTATAAGACCCCCAAAGTAATGCTTGTAGGAGGATTTAGAGTTGAATCACACTTTTTTTCACGATGCACTATCAATTTCTGGCAAGGGAAGCGAGATCCTAGCTATTACCAACCTGATATAGAGAATCTGTTGTTAATCGCGCGAACGTCCAAGAAGTACTGAAAAATTCGTCAAGCGACTCTGCGAATAATACCGTGCGCCCGGTCGTCTGTATGTAAGAGATGAAAACACACGTAGCCCGCGACAAAGTTTACATATTGTTCACTCGTTAGAATAAATACGTATTACAAGTACTTATACACCTGCTGAGAGACGCATTAAGTTCACCCAACAACGACGACGACTACATTATAATGATATATGTTCTCGCATATCTCGCCGAGAACGCAGGTCAAAAGTAGGATAAACAACATTGGCAGTTTTTGAGTCGTTTTTCGTATCGTAGCTCCGAAGATGCGCTAAATGAACGCGAGGCATAGGTCAAAATGAACTTCTTTTGTTGGTCGACAATGCGACGAACTTTTTTGTGTATCATATAAAAACTCCGACGTTCGCCGGTAAACAATGCCGCGATATACTCATGTGCGTATAGGAGTTGATATCGTATTACCCGGAATTCGAGTTCAACGCGTGCGTTCAGTTTTCAGGAAACGCGAGACCGACCATTTACGAATGCAGCGGCTTGTTTACTTATCTTGGACACGCTCGGCTGCAGCAGATTAACGACTCCGAAATTTTCATCACCTAATATACTTACACTCTTTAATGGCCTCATGCTGTATCGCGATAATAAAGTAAGCGATGCGGGTCGAGTACGATTTAAATGCCCAATTGCGCGCGTGTGTATGTGTGTGTAGTATAGTGTGTACAGCAGCCGCGACCAGCTGATTCGACCGTCGCTTCATGCACTTGCGCGGTTGTATATATTTTATGTGTAGAACTAGAACTGTGGAGCTCGATCGTAACGCGCAAGCTCAAAAGTCTCACGACTCTGAAACAGACTGTAAAGTCCAAAGAGGCAAAAGCGACTGTCTCGCCACGCTTGAAAATGGTCAAAGTTCTGATGATCGACAACGATTACTAATAATTTTTGTATAAGAATTTTAGATAAGAAATTTTCAAGCGTTTGTCACTATTAACTTCTTCTCGATAAATATACATTGAACCTTAGACAATACTTCTTAAAAACGTACACGACAAGTAAATTATATACTTTTACATGTAATCTCAATTTTGAACTCGTTAGGAAACAATCAATCAATGAAAAAGTCAGTTGGATAATTTTAACTGAAAATAATTTATTTCTCATTAATTCTATTCATCGCTTCTACGCCATCTCTTTCATAACTTCTTCGGTAATCACCGTATTCTATAAAATTCAACAGTTGCTTCATCCAAAGATTTCATTCAATGAAACGAAAACAAATACACATGAAGAAAATTAAAGCTCTTCATTAAAAAAAAAAAGTATTACAGTGTGCTATCTACAAGATAAAGCAACTGATTTCCACACAATATCCAATATTAATTGCGAGTGATCTATCACGCAATTCGGCTAGACAATGCACGCTCCGCGTTAATCGTCAGACGTTCAAATCTGCTCTTCAACATATAGGTATTAATGACGGTTTAAAGTTATTACAAAATTTATGTTAAAGTTTCATTGCTAACGCTCGAATGTACAGGGAATACATTTATTTCTTAACTATTACACTTATTGCACTACTGGCTTGAACTTCGGTGCAAATTGAAGCCATGAACAGTAAAAATCGGATGTTTTCTGCAGCAGATTTAAACGAATAGTTGTAAACTTTCTTTCAGAATCGATCGATCAAAGATCTATCAATAATCGAAAACACTACCTAACAGTCTCTTATGTTTTCAAAGTAACAAAAAACTATTATTTATAGCTATGTAGAGAAAAAAAAAGTAATACCATAGATCCACATCATGTGTACTCGTACGAGAATGTATGCGTGTGTGTAAATGTAAAAACAAATTTAGTATCACTTGGTTTATTTTATCTAACATTCTGGATTTGAGTGCATTTCGAAAGTAACTATTTATAAATACAAATATACTAATTTTGAGATTATTAAATTGAAAATATTTCGTTATATCATCAATAACAAAGGCTAATAATCTAACAGGAAAATTAAACGACTCTAGTAAAAAAAAAAATTTAGAACCGACGTTTAACCAATCAAACAATAATTACATAATCGTTTATTATACATACGGATACTAACACTCGGAAAACATATATTCCATCACACATTTCAATTCAAAGATTATTTTGATAACTATATAACTTAACCTTTAGCTATCTTACTGAAGTCAATTTTAGTACAATTATCATTTTGTTCAAGATTGAATTACAAGTAAGTTTCAATAGCTGAGGGTTAAATTGGAATTAGATACGCTATTTTTATTTGTTTTGCATTTAAAAAGATCCACTCAATGCATCGTTGTTGCAGTAAATAAACTTGAATTATATCGAGTGCAATTTACGACATAGTTCCTAAATCCCAAAATTGGAGCAAACGTTCATTTTTTGGTAAAGCCATGGAAGTTGGTCTTTCATAAGTTAACATAATGTCTTTGACTTTTTTCTTTAATTCCCTTTCAAAAATTTGTCCCGACGTACGCTCTAAAGCACCTGCCAAGTCGTATTCTACCTGTGGCAAAGGTTCTCTTATAAAACGAGCAGCCGTAGCAACACTCGGTAAAACATGATCTTGCAGTGCCTTAATTTCCCAAAGACTGCTGTTTATGGCGTTGCTCTGTAAAGGATCACGCTCCTCCATGAGGTACGGATCACCGGCGGCTCCACTTGGCGTCAACAACTGTACTCCTGAAGGTTGACTATTTTGCGGGTTATCAATCAAACACTTGAGTCCTCTATGTCGCATCATCAAATTTCCAACAAATAACAATATAATGAGAATGTCTTCTGGTGGTGCGACTAAAGTTAAACGTGAAAGACGTTTTGCAAACGCTGCGACTAGACCTTCTGGTAAATGTCTGTGACAAAATAAAAATTAAATTAAAAACAATTTATCACATGTAACGGGTGATCAAATATTTTACATCAAAGATTGATACTTACGTAGAGGTAAGGAAAATATCAGCAAGGTAAAACAATCTTGCTTTATATTTTGTATGAAATATTTCTGGTTCAAACATGGAATACAGTTTCGTGAAAATATTTGGGTATTCCAAGTTATGTTTCGTGACTAATACAAACATGCCTTGCAAGGCTAGTACACCTATTGGGCCTTGTACATCTAGTGAGTCCATTAAAAAATCTAATAAGAGAACTGGTTTCTCTAAATGTGGCATAACCTTCTCTATTAGAACAAATAATATCTGCTTATGTAATTCTGGAGTAAGTTCCCAGCGTATGGCACGTGACCAAACTTTATTGAGTGATTTTTTAGCAACTGCATAATCAAATTTAAATTCACTGGCAGCTAAAGCAAAAAAATGAACAGTTATTTAATTTTATTGTCTACAAAAATAATGGTGACAGTAGCACTATTTTAAGTTCATTGCTTACCATTTTGTGGTCCACAAAGACACTCTGCATCTTTTTTTACTTCTAGAGGCAGCAATTTTAAAAATTCTAATAAATTTTTTATGTAAAAATCTGGAGGCTGTGTTTTTGGTGTTAAAGTTGGCAAACTCCTCCATGTATGAAAAAGAACATCTGAATAACCTGTTACTTCTTGAAATCTTTCTATCAAAGCAGTATTATTTTTATCTGCCGATAAAAGTTTCATCATTATAAGTTTCAAACGATGAACTGGAAAATAGTGCTGCACATTTGCTACTGGGTCAATTGGTGAATTTCCTTCTGCTACCATCAAATTGATAGCAGTTGTAAGTGCCTGTGTTTGGATAGCATTTGATGTGGCATCCATAGCATTCGCGAGTTTATCCCAGAATTTTTCATCATAAAGTTCACGCAGCCAATTTTTGTATATTAGTTCTGGATTACTCTCTATAATAGTAAAAAAATAAGAAATTTAGCATCCAATCAAATCCCAAGTAAAAAAGTTACCGAATGATTATTCAAAGTAATGGCAAAAAATATTTACATTTAAATAGTATATTTTGCACCTAGGGAGTGAAAAACTGGAAAGTCTCAGAGCACATGTAACTTATCATCCGAGGCAAAGCCGAGGTTGATAATCACATGCTCTGAGACTTTCTTTTTCGCTACATAGGTGCAAATACAATTTTTTGTGAATCCCCCAGCCTAAAGTAATATTTTGGTTTTGCTCAGCGGGAGTAAAATGTTACTTTAGGTTGGAGTGGCACAAAAAATTATTATTGGTTCCTTAATAATTATTTCAATAAATTTAAGGGTGTGTAAATCACAATTAGATAAGAAAGTTTTAAAGTCGGAGTAAAAATAAAAATATTCAACTTATTGTCTCAGATTAATAGTAAAATATTGTTTCAAAAGTTATGTAAATATTCTTGTTTTAAAAGCTATGTCAATGCCTTTATTTTGTTGTTTTTTAGACATCTGCGTATCTTTAGAGAAATATCCCACAAAAATCTCTAAAAATGTATTTGAAATGATCATTTAAGATTGACTTCTTTCAGAAAATAAGTGTGAAAATTATTACGTTTAATTAACAAGCTCGAGAATTCTTTAATCCATAAATATTAATATAAAAGCAAAGATTTCTTATGCTATGGCATATATCATGCTCTTTATTAGTCAGAATTACTATCACTAATGTATTTTTAGAAACCCATCCACAATTATCAACAGAACATTATACTATAGGATGAGACTTAGATAAAGTTGAAATAATCATGAATTCATTTATCACCGTCTTTTTCAGTATAAAAAATAATAATCACTCGTCTGTAACCACATTCACTCCAGATTCTGCTGGACGATGCACATTGGCTTGTACACATATGCAAATATTCTGAATTTTACATGTGTACTGACAGTTGGAAACAGACACATCGAGCATGATAATTGTGTGGTATCTAATATTGAGCTAAAAATCCTCAATTTTCTCGATTCATCGGATCGGGAGGAAAATCTTACCTGGCTCGGTGAGCGAAATATTTCTTTCCATGTACATATCGCCTCTTTTCAGCAGTTGCGTGAATACGTGTTCGAACGTCGAAATACAATCTTCGGTGCAATCCTGCGAACAAAAATAGGTCGTGGGCGTTACGGAGCTGTGTAAACGACATTGGATTCGAAGTAATTATCGAAAGGGTAAAGCACAAAAGAGTCTGACGCATTGGATTATTCCAAAAATCATCAATGTGTGAAGTTAGACTCCACACACTCACACATACACGCGCACGATGTACTCTCGCACTCGTACATATATACACACACATGAAAAAGTACGTAACAATGCTTATTCGTTAAAGAGGAGAATTTAGACAAATTCGACGACTAAAAGAGATTCGAAGTAAAAATCATCGAGTCCTCGAAACACGACAGTTAAAAAAATTAAAGGAGCAAGTAAGAAGATTAACGGAATTACTAACCTCCCAAGCGTCCATCATGTCGAGCAAGTTGTTGGCGTATTTGCGCGACCCTAGAAATTCTTGGGCCTTCTGGCTCAAGAACTTTTTCGCTTGCGACATGTTGTTGTCGTTGCTTCGATTAAATATTTTAAACAAATGGCCCTGCGTCGTGTACTCCCACGACCGGATATATAATACGCACTGTACGTGTGTGTGTGGTTTGGTGGTAAAAAAGAGACTCCGAGTAAGAGAAGCTTATACGTTCAGCGGCGCACGTGCACTATATAACGCAGGCCAGCTGATGTGGACTGCCAAGCGAGCGGTTCTGAACTGACTGAGAGGCCAGAGAGAGCTAGTGCCAATACTGCTGCTGCTGCGTCGGCCGCTGGTGCTTGCTGTGCGCAAAGCTGCTGCTGCTGCGGGAAGCTCGCTGCTTGCGAATTGATATATATATATTATATTATGTACATACGTATCTTATTTCTATATATAAGTAATAAAAACGAGCCGTGCGAGAAATCGAGCTCGTGTGTAAGTGAGCGTTCATACTTATATATAGGTTGGTGGTGTATTATAACGCGTAAAATCGATTCGATTGTCTTTCGGGGTAGCGGAGGAGCAGAGCGGCATTAGTCGTCGTGCGGACCGTATAGTTCCCGATTGATTGGACGGTGTTGCTATACACACATTTGTCGACGTCTTGTTTTTCGGGTTACATCGGATCGAGTTATATCTATATCATTTACTCGAGTGAATTATTTACTGTTAACTCGGTATAAAGCTACATACCGACGAAAATTGATCCTCTCGCTATTTTCGGCGAGCTTATATTTATCGTCCTGAATTTCGATTACAATCCGTCGTCGGATACTCTCTGCCCCCCCCCCCCCCCAGNCCCCCCCCCCAAGTGACGTGAAAATAGCGGAATTCGCGCGGATATTATCGTGCGACGAGTAGTAGTATTATATGCGTCAGAGTAGTCTGCGCGGTGTGTGAGTTGAAGCTCGATTATTCGCCTCTCTCGATGTGTATATTATACATGTTGTAAATTATCCCTACTCTTCCTCCCTGACTCTGCCTCTCTCGTCAAACGATGCATTTATAGAATCGAAAAGTGCAGCAGCGAGTTAAAAGTCTCGCAAACGGAGTCGACGTTGGTGTGTGTATTGGGATGTACACACACAGAGCGACAAACGTACAGGCCAATAAAATGCAATTCTGCCTGCCACGCGCGCACCAGCTAGAGTCGCGCGTGTTTTTCTATAAATATAAAAAACGAGTAATTACTTCTTTTTTTTTCTCTCGATAATCTTTCGAATTCCGTCGGATACTCCGTATTAGCTGAAAAAGAGTCGGTTAAATGGCAAACGGTTCGGAGCTTTCGCGATGCTATACGAACAAATGAGAAAAATATTTCGTATCGAAATTATCAACTTTCAAACGAGTGACTCTGTATGCAGGGATAATCGAAAGCACGCGCAAGCTCATGTTCTAGCAATAAAATCATAAAAATGCGATATCGTCTTAGAGTATTCTAAAAATATCGATTCGCCCGATCGCCGACGGGTGTCTATGTATGATCGTCACACGTGCGCCTCGGCGACGACGACGACGACTCGAAAAACGGGTTTGGACACCACTGCGGCCATTATATTGATTCCACTGGCTGTGTAGCGTATATAGTGGCTGCGTTACGTATATAGGATGTACATACAGCAATATCCAAACGCTTATTTATAAGTATAATAATAGCTACGGATCGGTATACACCACGCGTATACACGATATTACTCTGTCAGCGTCTCGCAGTCGTGTCCGTTTCGCCCGATTGGCCTGAAACAAACGCCCGGATTCTCTCGAACGCGCGTCACCTTTTCAAGTGCAATCGATGGTCGTGGCAGCAGCTATACGTTAATATCGATTTTTCCATGTTGTATTGCCAATCGGAGGCTCATCGTTTGTTGTTTATGCTTCGTATATAGGTAATGCGCGAATTAACCTTTCGCTGACTTTCAAGAAGCGATCGGCTCAAAAATTATATATTGAAAATCGTAACGATACGATACGCGATTGTCGTTTATTATATACACATCTATCCCGAGACAATCGAGAGGAGCAGCTCCGCGCGCAAAAAGTCCAACCTCCTGAATGGTTCAATGCGAAGGACGATAATTTTTCATGTATATAAATGTAACGAGTACTTATTGAGCGGAGAATAAGAGGTGCGTCTCGAATTTTGTGAGGAAAATAAGTCGATTCGACCTAGCGTAGACGAGAGCCGGTTCCTGCAGCGTTGCATGCCATTTCCGACTGGTTATTAATCGAGCCGTTTCGGATTCGTTTATATTTCATCTCTCGCTCGGACGGTAAACTGCACGGCTTGTTACCACGTGCATATTTAGCAATCGTATACCGACGTATCGAGTGTGATGTATTTCAAACATAAAATAAGAGCGACACGGTTTAATGAATAATAACTTAAATTAGTGATAGGTGAGTGAGAACAAACAGCTTCGACATCGATGACTCGAGCTGTGCCTTATCTCAGGTTCTTACCCGTCTGGATATTTCGGAAACCAAAATTTCATGTTTCACATAAATTTTTAAAATGTATTATCAATAAATTGAAACTCTTATTGTAACGAACTATTAACTGTTTATTAAAATGATGGTATACAATCCGGACATTCATAAGAATTTTTAAGACTTATTCGGACTTTCAATGATTTTTTAAGTTTTTAATAATTAGTGTGGCAATGAACTTCCATAGGGGTATAATGTATTTTTTACGCGGTACTTTTGTTGCACGCAACTACGAAGTAAAATGAGGATTTTCTGTAATTCTAATCATCTATATGAAGTTTTACAAATGAAGATTGACATTTTAAAAGGTATCGAAATTGAATAAATCATATATGCCTTTATATAATATAATTTCATTTTTTTACAGAGTTCGAATTAGTTGCCGATGAAAACTCTACATCTCAGTACGGTAAGGGACCTTGCCACAAGTTGGCTCATGAAAGCTTTTATTAACATCATGATTATCGTCGCATATTTCCCTTATTTTATATCACGCGTCAGAGGTCGACAAATGCCAGACAACAGCCTGCTTAGTCCCTATCTTCTCGCATGCAGCCGCGCTCGTTCGCGATCGTCAGTTGTTTATATGCACCGTCTTTTGAGTCTGAATTGTTATTCATGCTTACATATTTCGTTGACGCTGACTGAATCGAATGAAAAGTGAAATAATATAATTAAACACTAAAAATATTGCTCGAAAGCAACGTTCCATCCGTAAGACCGGCTGGCTGATAGTCCGCGTTCGTCGTCGCTATCCTAATCGACCAACAAATCCAATCAAAAAATGGCACCCACCCAAGAGGATCGCGGGCGTCTCTTCAGCTTCGAGGAGTACACGGACATGCTGCTGTGCTACGGCAAAGCCAACAAGAATTCGCGCGAGGCCTCCAGGATCTACGCCGAGATGTACCCGGATCGTCGTCTACCATCGCCCCGCACCATCGTGGCGACTTACAAGAGATCTTGTGACAAAGGTTCGCTCAAGAGCTTCCATTGATCCTCGACCTTTTTTTTTGGTCTAATCTTTTTTTTTCAATTTCGATCTGTTTAGGATATACATCACCAAAAAATGGAACATCAGTGTACTGGCTGCCATCTGACAAACCCGTAGTACATTTCATAGATCCACAAACGGGTGAATACATTGTTGCCAAGCGATGGGGCTTGAGATGAATAAATGTAATATAATTTTTTATCTATTTTCTAATATTCAATGTTTTAGTTTCATTTAATTTGAAGATTTTTGAATTCGCTTGACACTTCAATTAATTTTGTTTAATATAGTTGCTAGCAATTAAAAAAAAAATTTTTCATTTGCATGTATGTACAAGTTTTATTTCATTTTACAAGTTAGTTCTTTTAATAATGTAAAGTTTTTCACATTGTTAACAAAGTTGATAACATTTGTGAAACAGCACATACGAAAATCACTGTTGCATAAATCTATACATCGCAAAAATAAAAATTCATTACGGTAAAAAATTAATCAAAGATTTTTCTTATAATACAAATTTATACTTTATATGTACATTTACTAATATCATCATTCCAAACGAACAGTTTTGATACTTGGTTTGCCACATCGTTTGTGAGCTTCTTCAATAAAAGCCCATTTCGAATATACATATCTTATGCTTTTTTGTCTTTTAAATGATGGGTTAAATTGTCTAAAATTGCAGTGTATCTATTGCAAGTAAAATAAACATTAAAATAAGGTTTACGCACGACCGCAAATTAATTTCGCATTTATTTTACCTGCACATGATTAAGAATTATTTAGCAATGCGTTAAGTACTGTTATCTAAAAATAAGACAAAAAAGTTAGAAAACTTAACTAAAAAAATAAGGACATGAAAAAACATTAGATAATGGAAATAAAAATTAACGCTTATACTTTTATGATCAACATTTTCATTGCATACTTTTAATCAGTGTTACGTTGCATTACATTAATTGTAATAATAAATCAAACAACAACACAATCTAAGGTTATTTATTGATGGTCACGCAATAATGCGAAAAATTGCTTGCATGTTGGTACGCACCTATTGATATTATTTAGAAGACGGCCCAATGGAATAAAATTACCAATTTTGATTTTCAAGTCATTGATCATGTTGTTTCCCAAATGAGAATAATATTTAAATTCAAGCACTCGATGACATTTGCTACTTCTGCAACTGAATAAGTGGTTTTTAACAGACCAACTTATACATTAGAGCACATCATTGCGACCGTGCGAGCTGCCAAAACGATTTTCCACATGCGCATTATTAGCATTTGTCTTAAAGTTAAAGACATCACTTACTTATCATCATTGTTGAATTGTTATTGCTTTCTTTTTTCTCTGGTCTATATTTACTAGAATCGTCGCAATTACGTAATCGATCGAAATTTAATGAAAAATTATAATGAACAAGCTCAAAAAAATAATATTCTAGTCATAATTAAGACAATTGTTGACTTGAATATTTTTATTTCGTATAGAAGCTTTCAACACTTCTAAGAGCATAATCTTTAATATTTTCAGATGATGAAATAATCATTCATTTCGTGTAATTGATTTAACAAGGGAGGAAATAAATAATTTTTACACAAAGTTATGTTTTTTCTATTCATGATTGTATATTATATCATAATGATTCAAAACATTTGATAATAAACTCAATTTTCGTTTCATTTACTTTTATGCAAAAAAGAAGCCTCCGAGTGATCATGAAATTTGTTGTTATCCTGAGTTCAAATCATCATTATTTATTAGGCACCATTGGCTTGTATCGAATTAAAAAAAACTCGATCGCAGCTTACACATTTTCACGAATACTTATTGTAGTACACAATTAGACAACTTTACACTTTTTTCTTTACTTCCAAAATGGATGCATAAATTTTGATAATTACTACAATAGTCAACATTATTCAAGGCGATCATCATCGAAGCTTCCGAAATCAGAACAATATTTATTAAATGACGTTTATTTCACACTATTTAAGTTCATTCTTGTTATTGTTTTTTTTATTATACAAATTATCATTCGTGTTGAATATCGTATTTCTACTATGAAAAATCTTCTCACAATAATTTTTTCCTCACAACTTATATAAAATCATTTGTTTGCAAAAAAATGCGTTGCAGACTTATTATTAACTTTAACATTTTTCAGAAGAAAGTCTATCACATGAATCTCGTTCAGAAATGTCTGCATTTATCGCGTTTTAATGATCTTTTTACCAATGTGTATAAATATTGCTTCATGAAATTGAATCATGCATTTTCTCAAATTATTCAGAAAAAATAAAATCGCTGTTTTATATTTACACAGCTTTCTTAGATGATTACCACATTTTATCGGGCTTCTGGCTAATTGGAATTTCAGTATATAATTCCATTACTATTTATTATGATTCTTTAAAACTATACTGTGAAAGTGAAAAATAAATATTGATTATTCATAGAATTATAACTTAAAACAAATTCGTAGTGCTTAAAGCAGTGCAAAGTTAACAATTAAAAATTTGATTTCAACTGAAATTAATATAGTATGTTGATGTGGTGTTATCTCTTAATCAGAAGCCCTTGAAAAACTATAACTAACTATTGTCGTATCTTTCCGTTTCATGCCGGCCGTTTATATTTTAGTAAACAAAAGTTTAACAGTATTCTCAAAACATCACTATGCGATTGCGATTAAAGAATTAACGTACAATTAAAATTTTTTTAAATGTCAAACAAATGTCATTTTCAAATTAATAACTCACTTCGTTGCATACTGCAAAATAGCCAATTTTATCATGGTCACTGTAATGAAGTCTTTTTCACTTGCTATCTCACTGTTATAATGTTAACTGATTTCAATGCTTTTAACCAATATTATCAGCAAAAACAGAGAAGAGATTCAACGAAGATTTTGGCAAATTTACTAACTATAACTTCACGGTTGTGATACGATTGTAAATTTAAAAAAACATAACATCATAAACAGTTATAATTTTTTCTAAATTTTCAATACACTCAACACTTTCAAACACTGGACCTTTTTATTCTATTTTACACGTATCATTGCGACACATATCGCGTACATACATTACAATTGTCATTCTAAAAATGAACAATTAGAGTATCTATCTACATTTCATATTATATAAAATAGAGCCAATAAAACTATTGCTCTGTTTTGAAGATTAGCTCGTTTATCTTTCATTCGTTCGTTATATACTTGAAAAAAATATGTCCTCATACAACCTCGCATACTTTTTTTAAACTTACAAGTTATCTAAAATTAAAAATCATTCAACAGTCAAAGGAATCAATGAATTGTCTAGACCATGATCTTGTTAGTTATGTGATCCTTAGTCTTCTAGATTTTAGTTGTAAAAGACTTTCGCAGTCCCTTCATTTGGTGGTATCGTATTGAATTTCATCATCGTCGCTGTAATCATCACTCAGGCACGGTCGGTTTGATGCAAGCTCGAAACGGCCGGCTTTTTTTGGTGGTGGGCTGAAACAGTATTATTTTTTTTTAATATTCGAAAAAAAGTTAAATAACAGAACAAGTCGTGAAGCCAGATTTGAATAGGAAAAACTTCAATTGTTAATTTTTAAATTAAGACTAAATTAATGAAAGTGCATATGTATGGAAGTGAAAAAAATTATATCTACCCATACATTTATATTATTTTTTTAAACAATCAAAGTTATTAGTTGCTTAAGTTATTCATTACTCAAACTTGTAATAATGATTTGAGAGTCGAAAATAAAAACAAACTAAAAATGGAAATTAATTTTATTACAAAAAAGTTTTGTCAACTTTTAAAATGTTGTATGCAAGTTATTCATGCAAAGGAATGGGGAAATGGAGCTAGATTTTACAAAATAGCCATAGCAGCTTTTTGAAATATCACTGCCTGTCAAATTAAGGCTAATACAAGCAGCAATAGCGTACCACATGCTTTAGTTAGTTTTTTTTTTAGTTTTATAACTAGCAGAGCCACTACGCCATTACAGATGGAATATACAGATGAAGCAGAACTCAATCGATTGAATTGAAATCTCCATAGTGTCGGTACCTTGTGATGTCTTCATCGTGATTGCTACTGCTACCACTTGCACTTCCATTACTACTATTTGGGCTTCCGTCACGCTTTGGACTCGCTGGTGGTGACAATGCCTGCATCAATCTACCTTTACTCTCGTTCCAAATCGTTGACTGTAAGTTGTTGGATGAAACAAAAAACAGAGTAACATTTATATAAAAATATTCATAACAACATTAAGCAAAGGAACAGATGCAAAATGTCTTTTGCTAATGAAAAAACCCGTTTATTTGTTTGTTGAAAAGAAAAAAATTTGTTTGTAGAATATGTATGGAAAAAGTAATTAAAATTAAGTTTCTTGTACAAAACTGTTAAAAATATAACGCAAAAGCTAAATAATCTATATGCATAAAAAATGTACACACCAATCTACCCTCGCGTCCGAATAGTAGCAGAAAAGCGTCGATGAAATCTCTAGACTTTTCTTCCCATTTTATTAGCATATCACTTCGTTTTTCGCCAAAATGGTCCATAACTTTTTTTCCTTTATCTTTGAGGTCATCAAATTTGTTCTGTAGCTTGAATTTTTTTTCCTGTTGATGATAAGAGAATTATTGATTGAAGCATCTCAATTAAAATTCAAGATTATACTCAATAGGGAAAAGTCAAAGAAGCTTACATTTATGAATGAAACATTCAGCTCTTTGGCGCTGTAACCTCTGGCTAAATTTCTTCTGACATAAATGTCATAATCTTTTACTATTCTTGCAACAATATCAGATGTAGAAACACCTTCGGTTCTTTGAGTTGCAATAAACATTCCCTTAGCTTTCAGTCTCGCGTAGATGTCATCTTGCCCATCATCTGTGTTATATACATCATCGTGGGCCACAAAGTCTATCTGTAAAGTTATCCTCAGTTGTAATAAATATGAACTGCATATATCTCTATTGAGACTATATTAATGAATTACCTTATGTTTTTCGATAAATTCATCATCTAGCTCCCATGGAGCATCTCGAACAACTTCGTCTACGTATCTACAGTGCCTGACAGCATCATATCTCTCCAAATCGGTCATGACAGTACGGCCTTTTCTTGAGTGTGTCAATTCATCGTTGCAAACTTAAGAGAATTCATTAAACAATATTTAAAATATGTTCAATTTTACATAATCATTTTTATTACTTACCTCCAACGATGAGATACACATTGGGAAATAAATTCTTTGCCTGCATCAACTGCCGGGCATGGCCTTGATGAAAAAGATCATAAATGCCATCAGCATATACTCTTACTCTCCTGGGAGCTAGAAAAAAAATAATTTTCCATCAACTTAGTGATAAAGTTTTAAAAAAAAGTACACTTAATGTGATGAAAATATAGCAACTAACCTTTGCCAGATTTTGCAATTTTGACTGTTATTTTTATATTATAATCACAATTGTCTGCCTCTTGGAGAGCATCAGGTTCATCACTGAATGGCGCCTCTTTACAAATGGACTGAAAAGATTAGACATAAATTAATTGTTTACAAATGACTGGAAAGTTATATGCAATATATATTTTTTTAATGATCCTAACATGTTTTTTACATAGATAGTACTCACAGTAAAATAATTTTGGTTAAGATTTTGTGGAATATTTTTATGTGAGTTATTGTTTTTTTGATTTTCAGATTTTGTAAATCCAGACACCATTTTAAAAAATAGTTGTTTTCTAGTATAGAAAAAAGATTAAATATTTGAAGTAATAATTCTTAAAATTTCAAGTTACGAGAACACTTTCTGTGCAGCGTGTCTGACTACTTCAAGATATGATTATGAACTAAGGAATAAACCTACAATATCTTACAAATGTTTTGATCACCAGTTCTTCTCACACCACTCTCGTGTTATCTTATAGTATACATTTTAACTTTTTATTATCAATTGAAAGTTCATTGATAAAAGACATTCATGACTACTTTAAGGAATTTAAGGAAAATGATTCAAGATTATGTAATACTTGACTGATAAAATAAATGGTGCAGAGTCAGTAAGGAAATAATCAACGCAAATTTCTTCAAAACTTACAGCAGACACTGGTGAGCCTTCTCTGTTAATATCCATTTCTCCTGCACTAGTGCTATTATTCATTATTGACGTCATTGTTTTTTCTTTTTCTTCTCGTCCACGCTTTCTAGACATTTTCAAGTCTGGCACATCTATTTGTTGTTGCATCTCTGTAAACCAAAAATAAGTATTAATTTACAAATTGAAATTATATCAGAAACTAATTTAATGCTTAAAAAATTTGCCTGACTTGAAACTTAATCGTTAAATTATAAGGTACACTATCAAGCTTATATGTAACTGAATGTTGGTAAAAACTTCTGAACTATTTGATTGACTCTCAAGGTCAAAATTCAAGTAAAAACTAAATTTAATACAATTTCAAATCTTTATGGTTTAATTGCTGCACCGCTCAACATTGCAACTTTTAAACATAAAAACAAGTTGTATATTCTTTGAATTACAGAACAATCACAACTATTTATTCATAGTAAATGCTTCACTTATTTCAAGTCACTAAAAAGTGTCACACGTACCAAGTGCATACATTTATTTAGTCAATTAACCATGCGCTATCATACAAGATCATTGGAATTGCAAAAATGCACTACACTTTACGTACAGTGGTAAAATAATCAATATCGCGAAGCATTAATTAATCAACAGCATGTTTATGCACCCATGCAGACAGATGTATATACCAATGAAAATGCACAGATTTCAGTCATCGTAACGAACCTGAGATTAAAAGTAAGATTCACCAATCGATGTCATAATCGACGTTTTATGTCTCCGAAAGGGGCGACTATCGCCTTATTGTAATTTACACACTTTGTCAATAGGCAGCACGACGCACCACTCCCCAAGAAAGAAGAGAAATAGAAAGCCACGGGGCGATCGGTCCCCGCCGCATTCCTCGTCTAAACACGCCAAGCGTATATGTGTGCCCCCGTCCGGCTACTCGTGTACTTATTGCTTCCTATCCTTTGACTATTGTCACGAATTACCTTCGGGCGCTATAGGCGATTTTCCTCTTTATTTTTTTTTTCAATGCATGTAACACAACGTTGTAAGTTACTGGTGCGTTCGCACGACGAAACGGAACTCGCGGAAAACAGCTGTCTCTCTGTGCGCTAACACTGCACACTCTGTGTTGTCAGCACGAGCAGCGAGACCACATCATCATCATCACACTCTGCGAGCAGACGTCGTCGCGCGCACCTAACCAGGCCGCCGCGTTGCCTTTTTGCACTAACTGTGTTGCGCGCGTCAGTTTTGTCTAGATTTGCCCCCTTCTCCGTGTATAGTCGAATATCGTGGAGCTCCCAATAAACGGCGACTAGTCAAAGCACAGCGTGTTGTGCGCAAGTCGGAGAACGAAAAGTTTGAAATGACTCACGACAATTAAATTTAAGTCCAAGTACTGCATAAAAAATTCATGCGTTCGAGGAATTCCGTTCCAGAGAGAGAGAGAGAATAGATATCTGACAATATAATTTTAAACGTGCACATACCCACAGTACGCAGACGCTCGATAAACAGGTGATTTATACACCCACACGTTCTGTTTACACGTGAGATCGCGGGCACGCGCGCAGTTTTTAGCGCGTGTTGATGGCTCGTGAATGTTCATGTATATATAACGCAAAAAAACAATAATCGGCCGAGGACCTTGATTTCCAGACTCGAGTTACGCGCTATTTATTCAAAAAATTATTATTATTACGCGTGCTCGTAAACAAGTGCGCGTGGACGGGGCATGCATATGCAAGCAAACGCGTGCGCGATACAGTCGTCTGCTCCAATGCGGCGCTGATCGAGAAAACGTCGATCGAGAGGTTTTTTTCAAGATTGAAATTGAATTGGAAAAGACTCGAGACTGTGCACAGTGGCACGTATACCTATACCGGCGCCGCCTGTGTATAATTGGGAAAGAGTCGTCGTCGTCACGTTCTGTCCCCCCGGATTTTTCTCTTATGTATATACGATTCACATGACGGATGAACGATGTGTAATGTATATCGTGACGATATAGCGAATCGGTGGCGCGCGGCATGCGTTACTACTTACTTACATAGCTACACGCCTCGTTACTTTGAAATTCAATTTTACGGAACCTCGATTAATATGTAAATTTCGATAAGTTTCGTCGATCGTATACATAGGCTTCCAACTTCTGCTTCTACCTCGTTTTAACAGTCGTGATCGCGAATCGTGCGGAATCGATGATTTTCGCGCGTATTCTATATTTATTGGCGCGCGCGTAATAAAAATATAAACGTCGCCGGCGTGAAGTAATAAATTGCGATGCAGCCACGCGCGAGTGGAAAATTTTTCCTTCGATCGCATTGGTAGACCAGCAGCAGTAGCAGCGAGGTGGGCGCCTCGAATCTTCGATTAAAAACAACAATATAAAAAAAAAATTATTCAAAAACGAACCGATCGCGAGTGATATTCGTAATATCTTGGTATATCGAGAGGGGCGAGATGAAAAATGTTTATAATAGTTGCAAGTGCAGCGCGCTGCGCACCGAGAGTTACCCACAGGTGCCGCGGCGCACTGCTACATACACGCACACAGAAAGACGCCTATCATTATAATACTAATTCCAGAGAAATTCCTGAGTACAACGGACACGCGCGCGATTACTCGGCGGCGCTTGAGATACATAGCAGCACGTAGAATTCACGATCGTTTTGCTGCCTGTCGCTGTCATCGTTATTGTTATTATTTATCCCAGGCAATTGTGCATCGACAATAAATATATATGTATAAATTATGCATTAATATACCTTTGATCGGTACAATGGAACTCAGTGGCGATTGTCTCAGATACTTTTGTATCAAGAACTCCATTGTCTCTCTTGCTTCGCGGTGTGCGACTTGTAAAAATGTTTATATACACTATTGCGCGTATGCGCAAAATGCCTCGTTGTATGTAGCACCACGAGAGGAACGCACACGATCACTCGATTGATTTACCGTTAAGAAAGTCTCGTGTGTCTGCATCACATCGCCGTGGCTATCGAATAATGTACGCGCTCGCGGCGTATGTTTTCATTATTAATTGATAATAATGGAAGCAAAAAAAAATATAATACGGGGCACGAGCACACGATATCACACGGCCCGGACGCGCACTGACAACTCAGCGGCAGAAGCACAACACCACACGCGAAATATACATTACATTTACAGGTATGTATATAGGTATTTGTGTATGTACACACAGGTAAACGCGCGTCTTCCTCCTTTTTTTTCCCTCTTCCTCCTCTTCTTCCTCTTCTTCTTCTATATACTCGTTCGCTGAAGAGCCGGAGCGATACTAAACGTTCCGAGAACGGAGCTCGCGGTGTACGAGCGGCGGCGGCGGCGCCAGCGGTGGCGGGATTTTATGTATTCGTACATTCGTAAAGGTGTATTATACATATAATTGTGTACCTATAAAACTCGCGCGGCGGTAAGAGTCCGCGAGTTTATATACTGCAGTAAAATGAGAATCAAGATAAGCCTTTCGTCTAACGAGGCGCGCGTTTTGTCAAATATACCAAGAGGCGAGGGAGAGAGAGTGGAACGACCGAGAATCAATGGGGAATTCGAGCGATGCATGCAGCGACGGTGTATGTACGTGCGTTCGCGCGCGAGTCTTTTGCGCCATTAATTGGATCGAGGATTAAGATTGGGCACACGCGGGCAGACAGATCGGCTGCGCGAAAAATCAGATCGCTGCATTGGTGCGGTACACGCGTCCGTCGTAGAACTCGAATTTTTTTTATTTATTTTCTTCTCTCTCGCATACCTTTCCAGACGAGAAAGAGAAGGTCTCCGACGATCCGTTCGCGGGTTTATATGTATTACCTTATATATCTATACGTATCTACCTATGAGAGTCGCCACATATGCACGCGACTTTCCAGCAATAGTCGCGGCACATATTATTACACACTCGCGCGCGTATACACATTTAAGTATGTTGGCGGCCTACATTGGGAAACTCGTCTCGCAAGGGTTTCCTGCATTTCTATATATACTGTACTGTTCGCTGACTGCTGCGCAGTCAAACATAAGTTGATGTATCTCTACGATAACGATGCACGGTCAAGAATTTTCGAGCGAAATTGAATTGAAGCTGCTGCTCGATGACAGATATATATAATATTGATATATACGTATAAGAAGGAGTTCGTGACGGGGAAAAACCGATTTATATAGCCGATCGCGCCACACTCGGGTGCAACATTTTTAATATCACAATATTAGATATTACCATCTGCTTCGATCTCGTGTTTCGTTCGAGCTCGTTACGTTTCATGATATAAAAATAGAAAACCTCTTTGCTATATAGATTTTCTTTTCACGAAATCGACGTCTGAGAATGACGAGAATGGCACTTGCGTTTCTTTCTTTCTTTTTTTTTTATTGGCAGAGATGCTGTAAACTTCGATCGACGCTACTACGTAGACGTATCACCTATACAGTACAACCATCTTCGATATCGTGCATCATGCAGCACGAGCGTGTGTAGTACCGAAATACACAATAACGCAATTGCGATTTGTAAATCCCAAAAATCGAGATGTCGAGCTTTTTGTGTCGACATTTCTTTCTTTTTTTTTTTTTCGCTCGCGGCATTCCGCGCGTGTGTGTGTCTATTAGCGGACAACTCGGTCTGGAACGACGCTTACCGCATTATAGACAGCGCATAGCGGCCGAGTATGTATCACAAAAGTCACGACGATGCAATTACTTTTTGTATGCGCGCACGACAGCGACGAAAAGGAAAGTCTCGAAACACAATTGTATACGTATCGTTGGCAGTTACAATAATAAAATTGAAAAAAAAAAAAAAATTGTTGGCAGCTGTGTACTTCAACGAAAAAAGTCTATATGTGTACACGGCAAAAGTCGCGTGTTTTACGATCATCTTCTATGTATACATATAATCTTGCGCCGTTCCTCGTGATACTAGACCGCTCAATATATACATAGACATGAGTCTACGAAAGACACTCTTTGTACGAATCGCGCGATACAATGCAGAGTATAGTTTTCGAGTGCTGCAGAATATATGCGGCATATATCCTAGAGTCGGAGGACCGCGTCATCGTTTCGAGTTTAGTTTAATGACATATATATACCCGATACATAAAAGAGTAATTGATTTTTTTTCTTGCTCACCTCCCACTCGAGAGCACTGCCAATGGCTATAGTGTACAGCGTATACGTATACGGACAGAGTAATATACACAACATTGTCAACCTCTCTTGTTCGCACGATATATGTTATATAGAAAAAAAAAAAATTACCCACGGACGATCTCATCGCAAACGCGTGACGCGCGTTAGCTCGACTCGTTAGATTTCAAAATTAAGCCGAGTCAATGAATAATATTATACCCGAATAACGTAACTCTGTTATAAACAGACTTTATACACGCAGGCCCGCGCGTGTATAGATAATAAAAAAAGGCAGCGAGGTGAGGAAAAAAAAAACATAATTCGAGAAACGTCGTCGTTGAGTAATTACTTCACGTGGCTTGGTGTATTAAAGCGCGGCCTGCGGAGCAGTACAGCGGCGCGTCGAGTTTTTTTACATGTATATACAATCTCGAATCTCTCGTTCGTTCGGCTCCGCGAGTGCACGTGCACTCGAACGTTTATAACGAGGATCTCGCGCGCGAGTCCGCGTGCCTATATATTATAATACTATTGCCATTTGCCATCGGAATATTTTATTATTAGTATTCCATCTCGTCTCGCTGAATTTTGTCTATATATACAATACTCGCACCGATACACACACACATACTATTTCTCGGTATTATCGCATGCATCGGGAGGCGCGCGCGCGCAATTTGGCGCGCGTTTCAGCATCATGCGATGGCCTGACGACGACGACGCGTATAACGGGCCTGGCGCAGCAGCATAGGCGCGGTGTGTGCATCGCATTAGGTTTATACATACACACACACGCGCGTTCCATTCTATATATAAAGGTGCCGGTTCATCGACACTCGGCCCGGCGCACTTGAGCTCTTTCCACCGACGTACATATATATGATAAAATAATACAATTTAATGCCTCGATGCAGCTCGAGCGCGCGCGGCTTTTCTTTTTCCATGCATGAAAGTCGGTTTATTTTATAAGCTGACGCCTATAGAGATAGGTAGGGTACGTCACCTGTTCCATGGTCGTCGCACTGCTTCTCCGATTCTATTATCATTGTTGTTATTATTTGATGCTGTGTCTCTTTGTTATTGTTGTTATTATTATTTTTATCATGTGGTGTCGAAGGGAATATCGCTTATACCATGGTATAGGAGCCCGCGCCAGCAATAAATATTTATCCCGAATCGATATTTTCACTCGAGTTTTTGTTGTGTCTAATATTACAATATACTTACACAGCAGCAAGTACAGAGAGTCATGAAAAAGTTGCGCTCACACACTTCGATTGCTTCTAAAATTATTACTCAATTTTTTCGCACTATTTTTAGCAGCACTCGCTCGACCCGTCCGACAGTAGACCCTCTATACGCTCTAAACGACGCTATGCGATATACCGCATGTATACATGTAAGCGGGTTGAAAAGGCAAATGCAATTCTTACCTGATTTGACGCGCGTTGTGTTGTTGTTGTTGTTGTTGTGCAGGTACTGCGTGCGTAGTTACGAAAAAAAACACACACGAACGGGGTTTTTTTTTCTCTCCCGGGCGTTTGACGCTGCTGCTCAAAGTAGACGCTCTCTCGGCTATTGTAGCTGCTCCGCCGAGGCAGTTACGCGTTTGACACTGTTAACAGCCTATTATGCAGATACGACGGCGACTAAGAAGCTCTTAATCGCGGAGAGACGAGTCCAAGATAGACACAAATCTTTACGATAACGTAAAAAAAGTATTACACACGTTACGCAGTTGAAAACACGCGCACAAGCGCACTCAATGACACTTATCAATATTACTGTTGTTATTATTGTCCGAATCGAATTGTGCAAAATGTTTACTGTCAATTATTGTCGTGTTATTCTGCGGCGTACGAGAGTCGCTTGTTTTTTTCCCCTCGTAACTTTTTTTTGTGCCGGGCCGCGTTATAATTATATTATCACTGTTACGATATTAACGCGCGAGCCACGAAACAACGATTGCACACGCAGTATGGCATTATTGTTTGCGTCCTCGTTTATTATTAATTATTTGTTTGTTTATCGGTCGTATGAGCACTCGCTGCAGATATCCACTGTTTTATATTGTTACTGCATGTTTTTCCTCGATTTTTCCTTACAGAGTCCGTTATATTATTACCCCGGGGGTCAATCGGTGAAGATTTATATACTCGCGCGGAGCGGCTTGGAAAAAGCCGCGATAAGCAGTGGCGGTATATTTATTATTATTATTAAAGTTTTCTTATTATTGTCGAGAGCGAGCGAAAGACTTGAAACGGCGAAGGATAGATGACAATTGGCTCTCTCGGATCAGCAGTAGACGCGCCGAGTACGCCCTGAACCAGTATTAAAGCAGCAGCGGTGGCAACGGCGGCGGTGCCCGCGTTTATTGTTGCATGTATGCGAACTGTATAGATATATCGCGTCGCAGCTCGCGGGGTGGTGGAATTCGCGGCAAGTCTATTGCGAGATTCCGAGGCTCGAGGTGGGGATGCAACAGCGTAGCATACAATATACACGCGCATGACGTAAGATCGGGTGATCGCGGATCGAGCTTGCTGCTTTCGGACACGTGGTTTTCTGCAGCTGCGACTCGGCGGCGCGCGTCTCTGGCGGCGTTACACACACACACACACACGTGCATTACGCATACCTACACATATACTACGCGGCCGCTGCAATTGTCTCTTTTATTATCGCCGCGTGACGAAAGGGTTCTTCTTGCTCGCTCGCTCGAACGGATTTTCGTCGATTTCTCGTATATGCAGTCCGGCTATTAGTCATCGTATGTAATCGACGTCGCGACAAATCATTATTGCAATTTTATATTGTACTGACTCATTCGAGCGAGAGGAGAGTAACCGTTATACCTATATAAGCGAATTGCAACGCAGCAGGTGCGCGCCTATATATATGGTCAAATCTCAAAATAAAATTCCGTTTCTTCAACAAAAAAAGCTGAAATTTTTTTTTGCGTGCCCAGCGGCCCGGACCCATGTAAATTGTTTCCTAGGACCTCTAGAAGTGAAAAAAAACGCGTAAACATGAAATTTGAAAATAGTTAATTTTTTTCGGGGCGTTTTTGTGTTTTAGACGCCGAAAAGTCATCTTTTCACGCAAATACGACTTGTTACTCGATTTCCAAGTCGTTGTAAAAGTATCAAAACTCATCTGAAAAATTTAACTGATTACTGTATTCGATAGGAAATTTCCTCAGCTTTCTGATGGTACTATTCGATTTTCCGAAATATCCAATTTTCACCGTGAAAATCGCCATCAAACATTGAGGGCTAAATTTGTCGAAAAATTCAGTACGCAAAAAGTGAAATTTTTGGATTATTTTCGATTTTTCCTTGTAAAAATGAGATTTTTCGGAAAATCTGATACTACCATCGGAAAGCTGAGGAAATTTTCTATCGGAATCATATCTTCATTTATTTTTTGAGCCGAATTACAATCCTATACAAACGTATTTTAACTCCTCTGTTCTCCGTTTTCAGTTTTCAGAGCGGTCTTGAGGTTTTTAGCGTTGCACGGCTCACTACAATCGAAATTCGCTCGTAATTAGACTCAAAAAATAAATGAAGATATGCTTTCGATAGGAAATTTTCACAGCTTTCTCATGGTGCAGTTAGATTTTCCGAAAAATTTTATTTTCACAAGGAAAAATCAACAATTATCCAAAAATTTGCGGCACGAGGGTATGACCTCGCCCGGCTGCTACTGCTTGAAGAACAGGTGGCAGGGCCAGAGGTCGGCCTGATTTAGGGTGTGCCTGACCAGCTGGTTGGTCTGCTCGAAGCTCGTGATGGAGCCGAAGGCCTGCACGAAGCCCGACCTGACGCGGCTCGAGTCGAAGCCCACCTGACGGCAGACGGCCTCGCGCTCGGTGGTCTCGACGGCCGCGTGAGAGCGCGGCGGGGCCCACCTTCATGATGACGATGACGACGACGATGATTTTTACTGCTCGACTTCATACTGTACTAAGATTTTTTGCCTGGAAAATTGTAACGAAAACTTGGAAAATTCGTCTGTGTGTTTTGGTGAGCTGAAATATTCTATAGTTTCTTGGATGTTTACTTATAAATATGAGCAGGATAGAGTAAGCTTGACTATATTGTTTTTGTATACATTTATGGGAGATATTATACGTTACTTTACTCAATTTCTAAGTATTCAATTCTCTCTCAATTTCTATGTATTCTAATTTTCGTGAACAAACAAACGTTCAGTCTTCGTTAAGTAGTCGTAGAGATCGATCAGTACAATCAATTAGAATGGCCCGGTCAGGTAAAGATTTATCCCATACGGGTCTCACTAATAAATCAATGGCGGCAAATGTTATACGACTTCAAAGTTTAGTTAGAACGAGTGATTTGAATGAAAATGTTGACCGACAACTTGTAACGGAAATCGTTCGGGAATCACAGATATTTGGGGATTCACCACCTTCGAGTACAGTCACTGATTTTAAAGAAGCCCTTTCTGAGATCGGTATGAATAATTTTAAAAATTTAAACTTATACTTGTTTAATTATGGTATTATGGCTTTTGCCATTGTAACAAAGTATAAATTTAGAGAAAAGAATCACGAAGCTCACAAAAGGATGTTGACTACATGCTCAAGATCATCGGCGATAAGTTTGCATAAGTACATGACAACACACCAGCTATCGGAAACTAATGAAACGGACGCAATAAGAGAGGTCAGAAAATTCTTTAAAATTGGCAAAGTTGCAACGGATGATTATACTGTGATTGAAAATTATTTGCGCTCTTTCAAATTTGAGCCACAGGATATGGATAAAATTCGACTTTTATACATATCCAAAATGTAAGAAAATATTTTAACTAAATTTATTAAATTGTAATGTGGTCTTATAAAACTCTTATAATCTTCGTCTTATAATCTTTACTTCAAATCAAGATGTGATGAGCCGCCGCCAATAAACGGTGAGCAACAATAAGATCTTGCTTCCCAGGTCAATTATCGGCAGCCCCAGCAGCAGCAGCAACAACAAGACAAAGAATAATCGGTGCGAATTCGAACTGGACCCAGGGCCCAAACGCAGCGCGATCAGTTGTTCTCTTCTTTCAGCCGCAGCGACATCAAGGAAATCATGGAGAAGGTGTTGACGCTCGAGGGCAGACAGCTCGAAATAATATCTTACGTGGCCAGGCCGATACCGAGGCCGAACGAGGGCGGCGTCGTCAATCGCCTCTACCGCCTGATGGTCGATTACCGCCTGAACCCGGACGAGAAGACGAGGCCCGAAGTGATGCGCTTCCTCGTCTAGCCGATGATCAGCACCCTGGATCGCTACGACTTTCTGCGGGGAGACGACGGCAGCCTTGAGCCGTGGGACAACGAGGTCCACTTCTGGACCAGCTTGATGCAGGTGCTCGAGGCCAACTGTCACCGCTCGGAGCCGTTCACGCCACGCCGCCTGCTGGTAAACGATCGCGTCATCGTGTTCGAGGAGCCGCGCGAGCAGGGCTGGTACATGTGGCTCAAGCGGCCGCCCCGGCTGCCCGCCGGTCATCTGTACGCCGCCCTGAGGTCCCTGGCGCGATATCACGCCGCCGTCGAGATCATCGAGCGCGAGACCGACTTGACCCTGGGACAGATGTTGACCCGCGGTGCCGACGACGAAGACGAGAACAACAGCGAAGAGGCTGCAGCGGACGACGAATCCAGCACGGGACCACCTACGTTGGACTGGGTCAACATCGACCTCACCCTGGAGCTCATCGAGGCCGTCTGCCGTCAGGTGGGCTTCGACTCGAGCCGCGTCAGGCCGGGCTGCGATATGATCGCTGATACCAATGCCGATTCTGCCGAAGCTGCCGATGACCAACGACAACATCAAGACGAATAATACGACGATGACGAGTCAAACTGAAGAACCTTTCATTCGTGTTTTCTCGATGCATACAATTTTTCATTTTTATTATTTTATGATACGAGGAAAGCGCGACGTTTCCTCGTTTTTTGCCACCCTCTGCTCGACGATTTTTCCTTTTTTCGAAAGTAAAATACATCATCGCGCACTCGACACTTAGACACTTGTCGCGTGCTATAATCCGTAGCTACTTTTTTTACACATTTACATTAACAATGTACGATGTTTAATAATAGGCCAGCTATGTGCGAATCGAATCTTGATAAAAGATAGAGAGGAAGAACGAGTCGCAGGAGGGTGAGAAAATTCGAGAAACCTGCCCGTAATTGTTTATAAATTGAACTTTATACATCTGTGTTGTGTAATACTTGTATATCTATGTATTGTACGTAGTCAACTGGATTAGATGTAACTAGAATTTTGTTAAAATTAATTGTAAAAATTAATTGTAATTGTTTATAAATTGAACTTTATACATCTGTGTTGTGTAATACTTGTATATCTATGTATTGTACGTAGTCAACTGGATTAGATGTAACTAGAATTTTGTTAAAATTAATTGTAAAAACAAAGAGACAGAGAACGAAAAACGAGAGAATAAGAATTCCACTATAAATCTGAATGACTTTATTGAGCAAGTAATTAGACAAAACCCCAAAAAACAACAATAAAATAAAAGGGCGGCCGACAGTCCGCGCCGAGTCCAAGAGCTTCTTCCTGAAGACGCTGCCGGCGCGCGACGACACCTCGGCCAACGCCCCGGACTTGGTGGTGGAGGGTGGCCTGTTCGATCACGAGGCCGAGTTCTTCAATCGGGTGGCGCCCCTGCTGAGGCGCAGTCTGCGCGAGGCAGGGGGCATCGACGACGACGACGACGACGACTTCTGTCCGCGCTGCTACCTGGCCAACGGCAAGATCCTCGTGCTGGAGGATCTGCGCGATCGCGGCTACATCATGCGCGAAAGCAAACTGTTCGGTGTCGGCGAGCTCGAGGCCGCAGCCCGGGCTCTGGCCCGATTACACGCCTCCGGGCTGCTGGCCGATCTGCGCGGCGATCGGCCGCTGCACGAGCTCTATCCCCAGGCCTTCGAGAATACCGCGTGGCCCGAAAATAGCTCTCGATTCCGTTTTGCGCGGCAGTAGTCACTTTCGGGTCACTGGTATGAAAACAAAATTTTATCTCATTTTGGGAATGAGATTTTTTGTCCCCTTTCCATTGAATTTTTCGAAACTTCAAAATTTCGATCGTTCACTGAGATCTTTGGCCATCTGGCGTTACTTTCACAGAGGTTTGGATGCAGCGATGCCTTCTCCTCCAGCAAGCTGCTTGAGCTTCAAAATTCTTCAAATGATCCTTCTCAAGATTCGACTTGATTCCGTTTGAAAAATTGACATTTGTGTAAAGTCTTGTATCCTGGAAAAAAACTCATCGCGGCGCGTTACTGGCATAGTAGTCTTTATGAAACAGTTCCGTACGAAGCCTGGCATAGTTTTATGATTGTATGACGCTTATGAATGTGTTCTTACCGATAACTTTCGTCTGAATAATTGTGAATATTTTCTGCCTGAGTAGTCGATATAGTATGCATGCGTAGCACTTATCTTAAATTTAGAATCCTTCCAAAAAATAACGACACATTCAGTAACAATATCGTATTAAATTAAGTTTAGGGGGTGCCAATTAGGGGTCTTTGAGCCCTTTGGCGCGAATGTACCCAGGCGAAATAAAAAACATGTTCAATATTCTCGTTCTTATATTAATTTTAGAATCGTAAGTGCTGCTCATATTATGCGTAATGCGTAATGGTCTGTTCATATTATATAGCTTCGAGAACAGCTACATTTTTAAATTTATGTATAAGAAAAAAATTCGGTACTGGTGGCGCTCGCCAGCACGGTCGGTTTCTACGCCGATTCGACGATCGTCGCAGTCGCATTTTTCATTTTTTCATTTGTCAGGATAATCGAGGGGTTGGCCAACGGGACGCTCGCAGTCGGTAAGGCCCGGGGCTTGTCGGAGCAGCTGTTCTTGCCGTCGAGGATGGGCTACGTGAAGCAGCTCGAGCGCCTCGACTTACCGGCCGAACTTTACCTGGCCATCAACGACAAAGTACGGATATGATTCAACGCACACATGAGGCACAAATCTCATCGATCGTAAAAATTAATACGCAGGTAAAGCCAAAGTGCGACGAATCGTTGACGAGCTGCAAATGGCTGGGCGTCGAGTTCGATTGTTGCGCGGAGTTTTACCAAACAATTTCATCAAAAAAGGCTTATTATTTCCAGTCTCGACTCGTCGGCTCTCAATGTTGAATGCATATGCATCTGATCCTGAAATTTTTGTAATAATATCTGGGGTGACGTTTGAGTGCATTAAAAAACTTAAGCTCTTTTACATTCATGATCGTGGTGCGTTTGAATAAAAATCAGAGCTCATTTTTGAAATGTATTTATTAATTTTTATCGTGTTTAAACTCTACAGAATAACATCAGAAATTGAGAAATAATAAAGTGTGAAATATTGATATGTTTTTATTAACGTTATTCTAGTTTTATTTATGTAGTATGTATCGTAATTTTAACTTTTCAATTGATGTCATTTCCAATCTTCTAGTTCTTGGTACGTACTTGAAAATGTTTTGTTAATTGGCAAGGAAAAGAAAGCTCTAATATAGGAAGTATGTCATGTCTGTGCAATTGAATGGTCAAAAAAAAGTCCATCACGAGCATTGGCCCTGAGCCGCCAAGAAAATGTGATATAAATCCTCGTTCGTCAGATGCACTATGATCATCTCACAGACCTCAAGCGGAAGACGTTTGTGAATAAGATCCCAGAATGGATAGACTGCCCATCGTCGAAAAAATCTCCTGGACATCATCTCACACAGATGAACAACACAAGCTTGAATGGCCCTGTCAGTGAGTTCACGCATGCGTATGTGAGCGAAATGTTCGTAGTCCCAGTAAGTGAATAGTTTTTCGATTTCTTCGGCTCGTAACTGGATTAGATCGTAGAGCGACAGACTTGAACCTTCCAATGATTCTTCAGCTTTTTTCACTACTTTTTCTGCTCGATCTTCATCCACCATTTCCTCCTCCTCATCATCATCATCATCATCATCGTCATCATCGTCGTCGTCGTCGTCGTCGTCGTCATCATCATCATCATCATCATCATCATCATCATCATCATCATCTTCATTATAATAATAAAAACATTCAGCATAGCAACATCTGAGGTAAGGTGGCACACCCGTGCGAATCATCTGATTTTTCGCTTTGTTAACAAACTCCTCGTCCTCGAGACATTTTTCAAGTTCCTCCGACTTTTCGAACAATCCATACTTGGCGTACCATTTCATGATCATGAAAACGTTGTTTTGATCTAGCTCGTATCCTCTTTCCTCAAGATTGTCCACGACACCCATAGCCCCAGACGCTATTCTCAATTTATAATCATAATATCGCTCTTGCCACACTTTGATTCCCTCTTCGAAGTAACTTTCAGTTGGGAAAACCAAGCTAGATAAATCAGCCCCTCGATTCAAAAGAGAATCTACATTATTTGGAAAAAGATTCGCTACAGCATAATATAGTGGTGTTCGACCCCGATTATTTTGAGGGTCGACCTGCACTAGTTGATGATTTTTGCCACAGATCTTAAAAAATGGTTCTATCAAGTCGACATCGTATTTTCTCTGGCAAATTAAATGCAAAGGTGTTAATCCATCCAAGTCTGCTGAGTTCGGATTAGCGCCATTTTCAAGCAACATTTGGATATGTTTTGGTACAACATTATATTTCACCATCACAGTATAGTGTAAAGGTGTCCGGCCGAACTTGTCCAGAGCATCGACTTGTACCATCGGATATTTGAGGAGTCTTTTGATTATTGAATCAGTGTGGAATACCGTGCAAGCAATATGAAGAGGTGTTAATCCATCCTGATCTGCTAATAAAGGATCAGCGCCTTCTGTTAGTAGCAATGAGGATAATAAACTGTTGTCACCTGCCAGAGCCATGTGTAGCGTCGATCGACCCGTTTTTCGTATGAGACAATTGGGATCCTGACCGAGCTCGAGGAATCTTCGAACAACAGCGAGATCTGAATAAGTGCAGCCTCTATATCTTTCGTATATTTTAAAGAGATCAAAGATGACGCGTCTGGTATAATAACTGCTAACTGGTGTGGTGTGACGCCAAAGTGGCGTGCCATCTTTGTCTAATTTAGGTTCGTCCTTATAGCCGGTTCTGCGCAAGAAATTTACGAATGGAACTATATAAACTCTGAAATTCTCAAAATCCGCGGACTTGATAGACTCTATAAGAAACCAATCAATTTCTTCGGCCCGAAAAATGTCCCGGAGATTTGGAAGTTGATTCGTCCAATTTTTGACCAAGGGATAAAGTTGATTGAGCAGTTCATATCGCTTGTCTTCGATTTCCCAATTGACGTTTTCTCGTAGTCTCTTCAAAGTTTCTAATTTTTGTTGGTTATCGGAACTTACGTTGGATTGCACGGTGGACGTGGCCATTTTTCTATCTGGTAACTCACAAACACGATCACTTTCTAATTGAGACTTTTCCACAAAAATCACTTGTCTATGAGATTTTTTTTTTCCTTCTTTACACGGTGGCGTCGTAACTCGTACTGAATATATCCAACGCACTGAACACTTAACACGTAGTCAAAGAGAAAGCTACAATATGATGCGCGAGCATAAGATGTGCATCTTAATTGACAAACTCACAAACTTGATCACTTTCTAATTGAGACTTTTCCACAAAAATCACTTGTCTATGAGATTTTTTTCTTCCTTCTTTACACGGGGGCGTCGTAACTCGTACTGAATATATCCAACGCACTGAACACTTAACACGTAGTCAAAGAGAAAGCTACAATATGATGCGCGAGCGTAAGATGTGCATCATAGGAATTGACCCGAGCAACTCGCATCAACGTCCAACACGTGCGCAGTTGTACTAGGGCGAGGCAAATACTACACATCGCGTGGGCGTAGCAAAGGCATGAGTGACTTGACGCAGCTGAACCGAGAAAGAGGCCCAAAATGCCTAAAATCACCAAAAACAGCCATTTTCAGACCTTTTTTGCACGTTTTGCGCCAAACATTGTTGTCTACATTGCGTTAAACTTTAAGACCCATTACAAAACTTTATCAGGCATTAGTTGACATCTTTGGGAAGCTTTTTACATAGTTTAGGAAATGAAAGTCCGGTTCGAACTCGAGTAGATTTCTTGTTTTATGTTTTTTTTGCAGTTTTTTTGCTTTACATTTACCTAGATTGTTCCAATCACTTTGGCATATTTTTTTTCTGAAAATTTGGACAATTTCCAACAAAAAAGTTGCTGGGCACTTTTACTTTTGAATCATTCTACCCTGATCCAGGAATTATTTGAATATTTGTGATTTTTCATGAATTTCAAAAAAACCCTAAAATGGCCAACTTCGGGCCCCTGAAAAAGAGTGATAGATGGTCCCAAAAATTCTAATAAAATTTGGGGACATTTCTGACATCGGAAACAGCAAGTTTTTCATATTTGCAGAAAAAAAAATTTTTTGGCCATTCGATTTCACAGAGAATCGGCCATATACAAGCTAAAAAGAGACGGAGCGAGGAGCGAGGAGCGAGGCTCGCCGCGACTTCCCAAATAAAACTAAAATTCCTTCAAGTATTCATGCAATCTTACAATTTTATATTCCAAACTGCTAGCTCACTAAAATATTGACAATAAAATATTTCAAAACCATGGTAATATTTTTTTCAAAAGATTAAATAGGGGCAAGTATGACAGTCTGATCCTTATAATTTTACTCTAACTTTGAAATTCTTTTTCTCATTTATAAAACTTTTGATTTCAAATCGTCGATGATCAATTACTTAGCTATGATAGAAATGAAATTCAATACATTTCGACAAGTATTCAAGCAAACTAAATTTTTTTCTCTAAAACTATAATTATAATATAAAGTTTGTGATAAAATAACTTAATGATTAATTATATTATTGTTAACATTAATTCAATAATCAATTACGTAGCTATGATATTATTGAATGTGGTATGTAAAGAAACTGTACTTGGGACTCTACTTGCCTGCCCGACATCCAAGTGCAAATGACAGATTCCGTACGCCCGTCTACACGATAACGCGCCTTGAAATTTTTTCATTTGTATGAAAATTCCAAATGGTGCGTGCGAAACACGTGCGTAAAACTCCCGCGCGCGCGCGAATGAAAAGCCAGTTTAATGTGTATACATTAGCAGACCACACCGAGCGCGGTGCAGCAGCAGCGAGTTTCAACACAATGACGTCTCGAAACACCGATAAGCTTTTCCTCCGCGTAGGCTGCATTGTACATTCTGCTCGAGAAAACTTTGACATTTCGTACCTCTCGGAAGGTCGCGCGCGACAGATGAGATCATACTCTCGCTTGTACATGTTACAATGCCCGGGGAAAATTTATTGACCCACTTTGTGTCCCGCGCTCTCTCGTTATCTATTCAAGATGTTTTTTTTTTCACGACTATTTGCCTCTTTTATACTCAGGCGAAGAACGTCGCGAGATCATGAGAGCTAGTAATATTCCTATCTCGAGTTCTTATATTTATGTACGAGTACTTACCGCACATGCATTGCGCTCGGCTAATTTTGCCGACATCAGCGCGGATGTATATAGCACATACGTACGTATATTATACTTCGAGTGCGAGAGATACGTGCAATGCAGCCGATACATTGCACGTGTCCGCGAATCGATGAATGTCGAGAATTTTTTTTTTCTTGGCTGTTCGGGTATACGAGCGTAAAAAAGGGTTTTTTTTCATTGATGCCTACGCGACGATTCAATCTGCATGTTCTTGTCCAATTTTTTTGTTTGTCTTTTCTTTTGCGATGAAGGAACTGACGTGTACCGCGATTTAAAATGGAAATTGTTAATGAGCGTGTTTCGAGGAGCCTTGAGCAATTTAGCCGTAGGAAATTTTAAAAAATATACATCCACGCAGCGTCAAAACTCAACGTGCCGATTTTTTTTTTTTTTTTGGAAATTTGATTTTGAGAACTCGTGCATGATCGCAAGCACTTGTAAATTGATTATGAAACGTACGAGTGTGTGTATATGTACTCGTGTAATGTGTATTAAGCTATATCTGTCGATGACATTGTAATGAAAAACGATCCGCTTGCGAATGCGCTATATACAGCCTTCGCGATCGGACACTTTTTTGAGCTCGCAATGAAAATGATAATTAATGAATTACTGAAATTCGTGAAATTCCCTCGAGTACTCGTGCGTGGCCGGTGTTGTTTCCATTCGAGGCGATCGAGCGTTTCAATTAGAATCTTTTATTTCATTTTCTCGAAGAGCCCATAGTCGTATTTGAGAGCCTCTCTGTAGCGTGCCACGGCTATCACTGTCAATGTAAAATTCGGAGAAATAAATTGCAGAGATAAAATTACTCAACGCCGAGTTTATTTCAAGACATAATATCGGATAATAAAAATTCAATCGCGAAAAAAAATATAATTGATCGGGAAAATCCAAGTGGGCGTAAATGAGCGGATTATTAATAATGTATAATACGATTGTTTTATTTATTTCGATGCATAATGAAATCAAACAATGCTTATATGATTTAAATTTCGTATGTTTAAAGATAATGCGTAAAAAAAATTAAAAAGTAATTTTAGTTTTCAACAAGTGAAGATACGCCGATGAATACTCTTTAAAAAGTACCTCTCTCGTAATGAATTAAACATAATTGCGTAACATATCTACTAATGTGGTAATATCAACTTTTCGATTGTTGTAACTATTATTAAATTTAATAATTAACTGCTGATGAGATTCATCACTATTACAATCGTGAAAAAGATATTAATTAACGATATAAATTCGATTTTAGTTTTGCATCAACACTTTTATCAATATTTACAATAATCGAGACGTAAACATAAAAGAAAAATTACGGAGGTCAACATCTCAATAAAATGCCTGTTAATTCATTCAAGATTCAACTATAATGTATATCGGGGATTACATTTTTTTTTGTTAGATTTTCAAGATTTTAAGCTTCAACGTTCGTAGTATTAAAAAAAATTTCTCCTTCCTTTCGCACAATTCTATTTTTATAAGTATTAACTGTTTACCCTCGATCGCACTTAATACAGTCATTACAACATCGTTTCAATATGTACAAGTAGTCCTCGCATCAAGCAAAGTTAAAATCAGCAAATTGAGAGCTAATAGCAATGGTACAACTCGGAGATTCACCATGTGATTTTTGCAAAAAAAGCGGCATGATTATTATCCCAAACAGTTATTATTGCTTAAAGTAACATCAAAAACTTAAACAGTGATATCGACGTCAGTATTAAATATAAAATATTCAACATATTTTTCATCTTTATATTTAGGGTGACATACGTTCGAATATAATGTGAATAAAATCGAAGTTTGACGAAAATTGCAGGTTTCACTTCGAATATCCATTTGTCGCGCATCTGAATTATTGGAGTTTATAATGCATTACAATTAAATCGACTTGATTTTTTCTTCATATGTACATAGATAGAATTGCCACTAAATTTATTCTAGAAGACGCATTATCAATTTAACTATCGTATTTTATGGATATCTTATTTTATGTTAATTTTTTCAATTATCTCACTTTGCTATTTTCATTTTGTAACTTTGTTAATTTATTTTTTATGATCCCATAAATAATTTTTTATTAAAAAAATATATTGATTCGTTTTCACAAATATGCGGTATGAAAGAAATATTTTTTAGTACCAATAAGCATAGTTAAAATATGAATTCACTCACTTCATACACGTCTTGGTTACTTTTAACGTCATATTTTGGTAATGTATTTGAAACAAGTTTCTTGCAATATTTGCTGTTTATATTTTACTGTAAAAGTGATAAACTTGAAAAAATTAGTGCACAGCACCAAAAACGTATGTTGATTTGAATCTATTTTCATTATGTAGGTAAATGGAACAAATAATTTTAAGTATTATCTTCGATTAGTGCTTTGAACTTTTAATTCATTGCCATTTTTATTATTTATTTTCAAGAAGATAATTGTTATAGAGGCACTATGTCAACATAAACGGTATACTTTCTGCCTTAATAAATCACCCCTTTTCATTAAAAAATCAGTCGTAGTTCTTTACATTTATCATTTTATAACATTTATTGGATAGGTATCTAAATTTAAAGATAAAATATCTAAATCACAATGTTCAATGTCATCTCTTAGTGCAATGGCAAACACGTTTCATCATGGCATTCTGTTAAATTGAGACTTCACTGAACTCGTAAATTTTAATAATGTATTAATGATCTCGGTTTCTTCATATCGAGGCGCACTATAATTTATAAAAGTCGAGTGGTATGTATATCGGTAATCGGTATTTAAGTGTACATTTGCAAAAGAAATTAGTAAGCTCATCATGAGTTCAAGGTCGCAACTTAAATAAAAAAAAATTTATACAAAAAAGCACAATATAAAAAAACCAATCACAAAAGTAACAGTAAAGTAATAAAAACTGATTTCAGCGCAATTCTATCAGAAACTTCAATTTACGTAGAATTATTTCTTTTTTATATTTTAATTAATTTTTTTTACAAAAAATACTATTTCTCTATAATAGAAACATAAATCGCGTAAAAATTACTCCGGCTTTTCAGCTCAATCGAAATAAATACAAGAATTTATAAACGTCAATGAATTTAGACTTTTGGAGACTGTTATTGTGACAAGAACTCTTTATCACCAAGAGAGAAACTTTTGCCACTTACTCATCAAAGAGAAATATTTAATCAACAATAACAGTATATTAATAAAGATAAAGATATAATAAATAATTATTACATCAATATCGATTATTTTTTTCGAACCTGAAGTAGTATTATTGTATACTAGTTGCTTAGGCATTTTTAAATCGAGACATAAAATTTACAAACACTTTTTGCTTCAAGTAGGTACATCGTATATGGTTTACCTATTATAAGCAAAAAAATCAATTTAATTTATTAGGCGTACGAATAATCCACAAAATAATTTTTTTCATCTATCAAATTCTATGATACATTAAAACCGGAAAAATTTTGTTTTCGTAAGCCAAGGCTTTAAAAGTGATTTCTTAATGTATGTTTCAATTCGTTGGTTTCGCGACGGCTTCCTGTAATGTCGCCCATTGTAATTCCGTTAGATTTTGAATGCACGCGTTGAAAAATGCTTGGTTGCTCCTCTGGAAATCCCAAAAACACATTTATTAGGGTTTAAGGTTGCATAAACCATAAGAATTAATTTTTACAAAAAATGTATAGTTACCTCAATTTGTCGAACAATATCGAGCATCCTTCTGTAAGTTGGGTTCTCAGGAGCTACCACTTCTCTCACTAGAGCCTCCGCAAAGTAGGAAATGATCCTTGGTAGATTTGTGTTATTTGGTCCTAGCACAACTGGATGATTCGCTTCTATTAAATCACACAAGTAACTATATACATGTGGTGCTTCGTCTTCATCTTCTGTGACTGGCAGCCAAGATAACCAAAGTGGTAAAATTTCATCCACATTGATGGCATTGTTATTGTGTTTGAGAATTTTAGTGACGGCTGATATAGCATTTTCTGTTGGATTGATTTTTTCAGGGGTTCTAGACTCTGGATCGCGTATCACTTCTATGAGTTTGGGAATTGCTTGAGCACAAGCTGGGGCAAATGCTTCGCCACCGTATTGACCAAGTACGCCGCAACCGTACGCTGCAGCTTGTCTGACTTCTGCAGATTTATCAGTTACGTATTGAATCATAAATTCAAGGAAACAATCTTTATACTTATAGCATTCAGGACCACCGAATTCGATTACATCGTCAAAAACGCATAATGCCCACTGTCTATCAGACCATGGCCTATCAGGTTGTAATAATTTTACAAAATATTGCACCATTCGATCGAAGTATGGGAAAAAGGCGGATTTGTGAGTGATGAATAAGGCATGGAAAATATCAGCGATTTTGCTGAGAGTATAGATGTCTTCTGTATCTTCATCAGCCAATTGCTCCTCAACAATTTCGTCGTAATCTTCGTCTTTGCGTTTTTCTAAACGAGCAACGGCTTTTTCAAAATGCTCATTAAACAGTTTTTCAAGAATGCGCAGTAATTCGTTCATTGGTTCTGCAGGCAAACAACCAGCTCCAAGAGTTTCAATGCATTTGGCCAAAGAATATAACAATTCCAACAAAACATCTGCTTCTGGCTCAGTATCTATTGCTTTCAAAAGATCTGGGCAGATGTAGTTCCACATACCTTCTACATACTGTGGACCTGTTCAAAGAAATTGAAAATTTTAGTATTGAAATTTTACAACATTTTCATCATTGTTGCATTGTATCTTAATACAGTTGTGCGTTTCATAGTACCACTCTTTATGTAAAGAGTACACAAAGAACAAATACTGGATCGCAAATTACTTTCCCACAGAGTAAACACTTTTATACGTGTTTGTCGTATAACCGATGCCTGTCTGTGGACTGATTTTGTCACATTTTCGATCTTACCTTTAACTTTAGCACATTCGAGAAGAGGTGGTAAACTTTCAGCAGCAGCGGTTCTAACGCCATCATGGAAATAGAATTTGAGTAATGGTACCATCAGCCTCACGACTTCTTCGGCATATTCTGCAAAACCTTCTTTCAATTCTCGAGCGTAGCATACCAACATTTCACAGGCAGACGATTTGTCCTCAAGTCCAGAAGTTTTGATACCAAAATTTTGTTGTTCACCCAAGGAGACGAATTGCCAATCAACATCACCTTCGACATCTTCCATATCTTCATTATCCAAAAGAGCCACTTCTGGTTTCATAGCAGCTGTTTGTAGAACAGTTGGCATCACAAGAGGCAAATACACCTCGAATTGCTTTCCTGATAAAATACATTTAACAATCATTATTTGATTTGTACTATTAAATACTGTATACATTTTGAGATTAATTTATTAAATGTTTGCTCAAATTACTATGATTGTGACTTGTTGACACAAACAACTCTCATGAGCTTCCAATGAAAAGGCTAAGAATCTATTGATTAAGACAATCAAAGGATAAAAAGCCATAATCATCGGTTACTTTTCCACAGTTGTAACACCTTCAAATTATTTATAAACATTTGACTGCTGACTAGAACTATGGATAAAATTTACAGTGAAATGAAATAAAGAAAAATTTACTAACCAAGGATTTTGCAAAGACGTGCCCAAGCAGATATCAAGTAGCTCAGTTGGGGATCATCCTCCGGCAGTTGTGAGTGTGATGATATAAGTAAATCCATTATTTCTCTAGCATCAGTAGTGAACTTTTCTGCTCCAACTGCCAAACCAATTAAACTGACGCACTCAATGGTTTTACCACGCAATAATTTATGCTCTGGCCTAGTTGCATTTGTAATTATGTACTTGAGACATGGCACTAATCTGTCATAATATTTTACAAACTGTTCTTCACAAGTGTCTGCAACACTGGCGATTGTTGTGACAACTTGTTCGAGAACCAATTTAGTGCCTTTCTCAACTAACTCTTGAAATTTGGATGTCAATATCTCTTCGAGCTTAGCCATGATAGCGTCTAAGTAAGGCATGAGAATATGCTTTGGACAATCTTCGCTAAAATTGACGAGAGCAGCACCTGCATGAGCTTGCACTCTAGGGTTTTGAACATCGTCCAAGACGAGAAGGAGTCCAGGAATGACAACTTCATGGAATTTCTTTTCAAAAGTAGGTGCAAAATCGGTTGACATTTGACCGATTGCGTTGCAAGCAGCAAACCTGACTCTTGGATGCGGATCTTGTAAGTACTGCATGATTCCTTCCATAATCTGTGGTAAAATACTTTCCATTTGTTTATGGCAACCTTCACCAACAGCAGAAACAGCCATGAGAGCAGCGTGTCTGTATTTCCAATCTGGGCTTCTTAACATGGTAGGAATATTAGAAACAACATGTGGTAACATGGTTTTTCCACCAAGACCACAAGCTAATCTGTCTAAAGCACTTTCAGCTACCAAATTGTTGCTGTCGTTATCCTCTTCAATAACTTCATCGGAAACACTCCAATCTGGATCTTCATCCAGATCAGCCATCATTTTCAGTACTAATGGTACCAATGCTTCTATGTACTTTCCACCAACTTTTCGGACCATTGCTGGTGCAGTTTCAGAAAGAGTAACAATAACTTCCAACGCCAATTGTCTCCAGGAATCTTCAACCTCTTCATTGGAGAATACTTTCATACAAACTGACATAATTTCTTCAAGAGATGACCGCAAAAATTTTGGGGCTGATTCCGACAAATCAATAAGAACTTTAAGTAAAGCATCATCATCTTGTTTTTCAATTGATTGAGCAATTACTACCACCATGGGTGGCACTAATTGTGCAAAATGTTTCTGAATATTTGGCTCTTTTTCGTGGAGTTGGATGAATGCTCCAAGTGCTCTTACAGCTTGGAATTGAACCTATTAAGAATTATTTCATATTAGTCATGCTGTATACAATAAACAATTTGTTCAATTAGAATAGAATGTTAGCTCCGTATCTGTCTGTAAATTAATACTTGACAAGTTACAGTCATTAGAAAGCTATTATTCTAAGGAGATTTGTGACAGAATACATTGAATACAATGTTTTCGTGTATCTATCTCCTAAAAAAATTTAAAGCAGTAACTTTTTTTACTTACATCATAGTTGGCCGTATCATTGATTGATACTAAAAGCATTTGTTTAATCAATTGCAAGTTGTTTTGTTGTTGATTGCCAAACACCCCAGGAACGCACCTATAATTGAAAATTAAAATATTTTAAAAAATTCATATAGTATTTTAATTTAGATTGCATAAACTGATTTTTTGATTATGATTTTATTTCAGCTTGACAGTGTTGTGCATTTCATAGTACCACTCGTTGTGCATAAGTATACACAAAGAACAAATACTGGATCGCAAATTAATTTCCCACAGAGTAAACACTTTTATATGTTTTTTTCATATAACCGATGCCTGTCTGTGGACAGTCTTTTTTATATCTACAAATGCACCAGTATACAAGAAGCATGTCAAAATTCTTACGTGAACATGCGGAGTGCGCTTTCTTTGAGTGATGCATTAGGTCCATTGAAACACTGGAAGAGGAATTGCAGAAATTCAGGCCACCGGTTGTTGCCATCCTCATCAACCAAGTTTCTGGCCACTTCTGCAACTACTTCACAAACTTTACGTCGCAGTCTTGGTGATTGTTCATTTTGAACAGCGATCAATAATTGTTGTTTCAACGTTGCTTGACCGTTCTCATCAATCTGCAATTAAAATTTTCATTTAGTATTTTATGGAATGTTCATGTAATGAAAAATAGTAACTAAAAAATAGTACATACTTTTGGGTAAAAGTCCGTGAACTCTGCAGAGAATAGTCGTCGCAGCAAAACAGCTGCCATTCCTCTGAGTTCGTCAGGGACTGAGCCATCGCATATAAATTGAAGCAAGAGTTGAACCTTGGCTTCAATTGGAATATTTTTGTAGGCTTCCTACAATATAAATAATTCATAAATGTTGGGTTCAATTTTTTTTGGAAAATTCAAAGACAAAATGTATCGATTCATAAAAAATAGAAATTTAGTTAATTCATAAAATGTATGCTCAAATTACTATGATTGTGACTTGTTGACACAAACAACTCTCAAGAGCTTCCAATGAAAAAGCTTTAAATCTATTGATTAAGACAACCAAAGGATAAAAAGCCATAATCATCGGTTACTATTCCATAGTTGTAACACCTTCAAATTATTTAAAAACATTTGACTGCTGACAAAAACTATGGAATGACTCATCATATAGTGCATAAGGGGCAATGGTGAGATCGCTTCTTAATTTTGATGATCAGCGCGTGATTATCAAGCATTTTTCAAATTAATTTAAAAAAAAATTATCATAACATGCGGAATAGGGGAGAAGCCACGGACTTTCATACTTTTTGTTTTCAAAAAATTTTTTTTTTATATTAATAGACTCGGAAGAAATTCCAGGCATTTATCGACGCTCCCATCGCACCGATGATTCCCAATGTAGGTTTCATAATCGATGATATTTTTATCAAACGACGATGAATTCGCCGGTAGCGTATAATAGGTAGCGGTTATCCCACTCGAATTAAGTTTTCAATGAGAGACGTGTACTTTTATTTTTTTTTCATTTTTTGTATTTTTGCGCTGTCACGGGTCTCGTTTATCGCCTCTAATGTAGTGTGAATATCGTGACTCACGGCTCGCGATGACGATAATTCGTCAATTAATACATATTAAACGTCGCATCTTTCGTGCACCACGTAACGATATTATAAATCGGTCGCGCGTGTCCACGTTCAACGAGAGTAGGTAGCCGCCGCCACCGCGGGCGATGTCGAAAATACGCGCAGACATTCCTCGACGGGGCTGGGAATGTGCTGTTATCGGATTTCGCGAGTACTTCACGTTAATTTCATTCATAGAGAGAGGCATCTCGTTGCACTTATCGTCGTCTACGTATTCGTTATACATATCTTCGGTGGTGGTGGTGGCGGAGGCGGCATCATCATCTCAAAAAAATTTGACGACGACGACGGCGATGATGATGATGATGATTATGGTTTACAGACCGCCGCTCGCGCGAGGTCGGAACGATCGAGAGGGGGACCGCGCGACGCGAGACAGAAAGAGAGAGACGACCGAAAGAGCGGGTTTCTCCTGCTCGCTTATGGGCTCTCCACGCGGTCCGATACCAAGATGCTTTTCGAGGTTAGGACAAGAGTACAAGTCTCGTGTCTCTCGGCCGATTCAAACATCAATTATATCGGATGCAGCGAGGAATTTACTTAGTAACGAATGCGCTCGATCGGACGGCGAAGGAATTTTATAGTGACCTGCCGGAAAATTGGCAGAGAATCAGATCGTTTTTGGACGTATTGTGCGTGCAGCCGCGAGCGCGCGCATTCACACACACGCGCGCGCAAGCGAGAAATTGCACAGAGAGACGAGAGCTTAAAGATGTTACATTCCGCCGTCGACATTCTTCGACATCAAAAGATGACCATATTATGCAAATTTATTAGCCGGAAGCGAGTGGCAGCTTTTCTCGCTCTGTCTTGCACGAGGGAGCCTCGTGCAGCAGTATAGCAGCGAGCAGTCAGGCAGCACATCGATTGATTATGCAGAGCACGGAGCACGAATGGATTAATAATCAATTGTCGTCGTCGTCGTCGTGGTCGGGTTCACGTGGAAAATAACGCGCTAGCGTAGGTGCATTTCTTTTTCTTCCGACTGCTGCTGCTGCTGCTGTCGTGAAGACGTCGCGCGTGCATCGCGTATGCAGGCGGCTTTTTTCATCGCTGTCCATGTACGGAGCACACACGGCTCCTTCTAGGCAGCCACGGTATAGTGTATTTTTCTTCGATGTGGACGATTATCGCACGAGGCGGCGGCGACCAACCACCATTTTGACCGCGTGCATACACGAGCGCGGTCGACGCAAAAACGATCATCGCGTTCTTCCGAGTCTCTCTCTTGTAAAGAACACATACACACAGAGACACGCGTATATACACACGCAGACACGCGGGGGGCTACGCTCGCGAGGGTCTTGGCGAAAAATGAATCAAGGGTTAACCACACGATGTAATAGAGCATCGAGGATGGAAAAAAACTCACCTCAGCTTGGGCCCGGACTTCGTTGTCGGTGCTCAAGAGCGTGTCGAGCAGTTGCTGGAACTGAGTGATATCCGTCGTCGTCATCGTGGCAGCTTGATTGACTTAGCCTCGTCGTCGTCGTCGTTGTTGTTGCTAACCGATGTTATATTATACGCGTATAATATAAAAAAAGTGTTTATGCGAGTCAAAAAAAGTGTCGTGTGCCTCGTGCTGTGTTATATAGCAGCAGCAGCACAGCGCGGTCTATATTTCGACTTGTGTGTCTCTCCTCTCTCTCTCCTCTGTCTTGGTCTCGTCTTTCACGCGCGCGGCACACAGCAGCAGCACACTACGGCAGCACACGCAGAGAGGCAGCCAGCAGCCTAGCTTGTCAATATATCCGCGCGATCTCGTCGTTGTCGTCGTCGTCGGCGGCGGCGGCTTCGAAATCCGTAGCTGTGGTGGTGGTGGTGGACGGTGGTGGTGCTGCTGCTGCCGTTCCGTTCAGCTCATGCAGACGCACACAGCGCAGCGCAGCACAGGCCAAGAAGTTCGGGGCTCTCGTCGATTTCCGTGCCTGTAGTACTACAGGTAGAGCGACCTCGCACTGGCGTATAATCCAAGTAGTCTCCGGCGCTCTCTTTTGACTGAGAACGTCTCGTGGCTGCACACATGCACACGCAGCTATATACATAAGTCGTCGGGCAGTCTATTTTATACAGTGCGCGCGAGGCCCTGCGAACATGGACGATATTGTAGACGAGAGCACGAGACACACGAGCGCGACTCCCTCTGCGTCTTGCCTGCAGGCGGCGCGCAGCGACTCCGTTATTATGAACGCGCGCGCGCGCACACTCTTCGAGTCTCACCGTTTTTTTGTATATACGTAATACGTACAATGGGCTCTTCTTCTCGGCTGCTGAGCGATAAACGGAGTTGTTAATTCATAACCACGATCTTTTACCTGTCCTTGGTTATATTATCGATGGAAACCGGGAGGAAACCTTTATTCCGTCGTTGTTCTGCTATCGCTTTGTTTTTACGGGAGCGAGTTTTCAATGATGCAGACACAGTGAACGTCGACTCTGCCTATACGTTTGAAATGCGTTCTTTTCGAGCGATAAAATTTGGTCTCGCCGACCCCCGAGCGACGGAGAGAGGGAGATTTTAAAACGAAAACGTGAACTTTTTTGGCTATGAATGATTTCGCCGAGCAATGTAACTATCAAGTGCAGTGTTCAGAGCGCAGAGACAGCAGCAGCAGCAGCAGCTGTGCAGGTTACATGTATTTATGTCACACTTGCGCACTGTACACCGTGAACATTGGGTTTTATAGTATATAACATATTAATAGTATAATATAGGCACAGAGGCTACGCTCCTATGCAATATTAACGATGATCGCGCGCCAAATAGAATTGACAATTGGGCGACGAAAGCGAGAATACGAAATGCGCCGAATGCATGATCGCACGCAATACACGCTCTCGTGTCGTGCTCAAAGTACTATCGTATACTTATATCGTGTACGATACATCGAGAGACGCGAACTCTCGATTTCGTCGCGAGGAGGAGCCACTTTACGCTACGTCGCGGCGTATATGATTTTTTGCACCGCGCGTGCAGCTATCGGCAGCAGCCGCGCTATTAAAAATTGCCCGCGAACGCTCTTCGAAAGTGTTTCGGAGTCTCTCGATTGACTCGAGCCGTTGTTTTTTTCACCTCTCGCTCGTGAGTTTAGCGCCGGCTCGAAGCCTCGAAGTTCGATTTTGTTGTCGTTGATTACCCAGGTTTGGACGACGTACATGCCAGGATATTTAAAACGAACGTTTGTAAAAATGTGGCCAAGGACGATCGTCACACTGTGCTGTGCCGATCCTTCCAATAATCGAGTTGCGGTATATAGGTTAATGCATATGGTAACGACGCATTGAACATTGTTTTTCGAGACTCGAGCACGTCGCAAATGAAATCGTACTTTACGCTCTATTCGAACAATTTGCCATTGTTTACACGAGTGTGAAATTTCGCGGAAAAAATTATACTCGTTTCATGGGCTGTCAAGTTATTGGCTCAGGCGTGTAACGATCGTTGACGATTGCATCGATAGAAAATAATTATCATCGCCCGCTCGCGAGTCACGTCGCGCGACACGTGCGCTTCAGGGCGTAGTAAAAAATCTCGTATGTTTGGCGCGCTTTTTCGCAAGCCCCGATAATTGGAATCGACTCCTCACGGTGCGCGTGGTTCAAATCACAATTCCGATCGTCGTACTTACACCAGCAAATTTATCATAAGACGCGAATATTTCATTGCAGAGATCGAGGCAGATGAAATATAAGTTGAAAAGTTCGGAACTAGAAACAAGAATTGATGTCCGTGCCGCACGTCCGTGAAATTAATTATACCCCTTCGGGGCGTGGGCGTATCGTATCAAATATAGCCTCGAAATGACGTACGTCGAGAAAGACGCTACACACAAAAAATATCGTAGATACGAAAAATTATTCGAATCTATATATACGATATATAATATACACGGAAAGAAAAGAAAAACCGTCGAGATTCGACGCTATAACGTGACTGGGGGTACTTTTGGTAAGCGAACTCCGATGTAATGAGTCGCCGTTTGTTATATATATCTCGAAACATATATAGTACATTCTCCACCGTGTAAGTTCCGGTATTTTTACGATGACACGCGAGCAATCCATGATCGAGTTTCATCTCTATTATCAATGGGTTCCAAGCCGTATACTCCGGCTATACAACTATCGATTAATAATTAAGGATGGGGTTTCCCATTCTTTTACGTAAAAAAAAAAAATTCTCTCGGTCGTTTACGAACTGTTTGGTAAATACCATGCTTAAATTCGCTGATTACTTTTTTTTTTTTGTTCCCCGCGCGGGAACTTACATTGTAAATGCGGCAGGCAGGGGGAGGACTCCGACGACGACGACGACGACGACGACGGCGGCGTAATTAGCGGAGAGTTTATTTTAAAGCGCTTAGCGTCACGAAACGCCGAGCTCGACGACGATCGTGCGCGCCCAATTGTCCGTGCCCAAAGGACGACGACGACGACGACGAGTTCGCTGTTGCATTAAATCTATAAAGAAGTCAGCGACACGCAATTGCCGAGGATATGTCAACGACGAGAGAAGGAGATGGAGAAGAGGGAGGGAGGGACTTGAAATATCATTCGATTATACCCCGTTTCTAGGCGCACTTATACATACCTCTCTGCCTGTATTTCGCTCGGACTGGAGGCAAAAGAAAAAAAAGTTAAGAATCGAATGCTAAGACGAGGAGTAGTCTGTGCGAAGCTCGCGGCCCCCGCCTCGTTATGCGGAGATTCGCTCGAGCTCAGTCCTGCGTCGCGCTTTTAGCCTGTCGAGCGCGCCGTTACCGTTACTCTAACGCGTACGAAAAAAGTAGATATCGATAAGAAATCGTTTTTAATTTTGTACCGAGGAAGAACGAAGATTTACTTTGAACAAACGTAATATCGAAAGTCAGCAAAATATCTTTGGTATAAACAGCCGATTTCGAACCGATTGTATCTTTACATACTTTTGACTTTCGACGATCGAATAAAAACCTAATTATCGGAATCGCTGTGAAATCCTTCATTGGCTTCGTCGGATACAGAATTGCAGTTGAACGAAGTTTAGTTATGGCAAATAATCTGATGCAGCGGCGGAAGTACGTCGATCCGAAGGTGCTGAAAGCTCAGACAAAGACGCTAGTCGACGAGGCCACAGGATATCTAAAAAACCCCAAAACTTACCAACAAGCTCTCAGCGTGTACGATAAGGTAATAGAGATCCGATTTTTTCCCTTAATTACGTCAATTGCGTTCGATCGTCACCATTGTACGTTTTGATGATACGAGAGCGACCATCGATCGATTGTGTTTAATTTGACTCTCATACATAATCATATCTGCCGGGTAGAATTGATTCGATGATGGGAAGAAAACGCAAATGTAGCGAAGTACGGACAATTCCTATGTTGCCCGTTTTTAATATAATAAGAAAAAAATTTTAATTAAACTGGCCTTGTTAATATACACGACTAACTTTCATTGATTTCATGCTATAAACAATTATGAAACAAATTTTCGAAATTGAGAATTTGAATCCCTCATAGTTCGCAAACTATTGAATTTAAAAAGTAATGTTCAGGATGATTTAAAATTGCTAAAAAACCTTCATAGGGCAAAAATTAAATTTTATCAATTAAGAAACAAAAGTGAAATACAGATCGAACCTCAAGGTTGAGAGAGAACATGGATTAAATCAAGTAAGTACTTTTACAAAAATGATCATCTGAACAAATTTTCATTTTGAATAAATTTTATTTCTGACTTAAGTACATGAAATACATTGAGTACATGAAATGTTAAAATTTTGTAAATCTTTCAGTTTAAAATCTAAAAGATTGTTTTATCTAGACCCATATAATTATGGAGATGACAAAGTCAGACCAAAAATCAAATTTGTAATAGCGTTTCATAGAATTTCTATTGAATATTTCTCTATACAGCAACCTTCATTTTCATTTTTGATAGAATCAAATCATAAAGCCTTTCAATAAAAAACTATTCAGTATGAGTTTTGATATGCGATTGAAATTTTAATTTTTGGTCTGGCTTTGCTATTCTCAATCAACTTTTCGGGGATTTGAAACAATGTATGAAAAAAATTCAGCTGTGGTATGATTGTTTATTCTTTCTACTCTCGGTGTCTTTTTTAGCAAAATTATAAACTGAGTATTGAAAACATGTTTATGACACATACTGCATTTATAAGGTTTTAGTTTCTCATGCACTACTTTGACATGCTTTTAAAGATTAGCATTCTCACCAAATCTTTTAGGAAATGTTCCCCATTCATAAAGCTTCAACTTTTTATAAACTGTTTTAATACATTTATATATTAATATATTTATATATTAATATATTTATATATTTATATTTAATATATTTATATATTAATTAAATCAATTAAAATTATATTAATGAATTAATATATTAATTAACCTAATTAAAAATTAATATATTAATATATTAATACAGTTCATAAAAAGTGGAAGCCTCATGAATGTGGATCATGTCTCAAAACATTTGGAGAGAAAACTATACTTCAAAAGCATATGAAAGCAGTGCATGAGAAACTAAAACTTTATGAATGTGGTATGTGTCGTAAAGCTTTTGGAGAAAAAGGTACTATCGAAACGCATATTAAGATGGTGCATTAAAAATTCTAACATAACATTAACTTTTCATGTACTGCTTTTATATGCTTTTGAAGATTAGTTTTTCGTCCGAATGATTTGTAATACATATTATATTTATTAGGATTTAAATTTTTATGTTTGACATCATTATAGATGTTCTTGAATATTGAAATCATTATCTCCGGTCTTATCATTTGCGAAACTATTCCGAGACTTAAAGTCGAATATGTGGGTGGCAGAAAATTTTACTCTGGGCTTCTCATCGTGGCTTTTAAATTCGTATATTATATCTTCGTCAGATTCATTTTTACCGTATATAACAGTATTTTCGTATTTCGGTTGATAATTCATGAGGCTATTATTTTATCCTGCAAAAGTATGGCACAATCAACGATTAATATTTCAATTTTAATATGATAGGGTTGTAGTATAAAAAAGAACAGAACAGTATTTTTTGTCGTCGACCCAGCGTAGAAGGTTTGTTAATAAATTAGTTAGAAATATCGTACATAACTGTAAAAGGGGTTTATTTAAATTGTTTATGCTTACTAAATGAAAAGTGAGTTACATTATAAAAGTGGAGAATAAAAATTATCTCTCTGAACAATTCAATTCTAGTTTCGATGATTCATACGCATCGCGATATTTCTAGATTTGAACGATCGTTATCCGTGATGGGCTGTGGCTATGTAAAATAAAGAAACATGCTAAAATTCACACGAAATTGAGGAAGTTACAATAGATGAATGAAATGAGTCGTGCAATCGGTAATAGCGACGTTTGTTTAGGAAGAAGTAGTTTGTGGTAATGATAGAGTTTTAAAAATAAAGAAGCTTTGCTTTAATTTTATAGTTATACGCCAAAAAAGTCTAAATTCACCTTCTTTGATGCTGTATTATCGTTACGATTAAATCGCCCTGAATTCATTGATGAGTAAAAAATTGAAAATTAGATAGACACCCTTGATAACAAATAATCTATTTTCAACAAATAGACTTGAGACAATATTTATTTACTGTCTATTTTATTCACGATCCGTGCATAGAAAAGATACACAGCGTACCAAAAAATAGCGGAAAAAGTCGTAAGACGACTGATTCAAATCCGACAGTAAATATGATAAAAAATCATTTGTCCAAACATTTTTACCTATCAATTTCAATTTTTTTAACATATGATATCCCATCTCAAAAAATGCGTTGTAATCGAGCTCTAGGAAATTATCGTTTTTACTTTATATAGAGCATTATTTATATAGAGTAATATTTTTACTTTATATTACTTTATCTAGTCGTTGATTACAAATGAGCTCAATGTGCGATTCATGCATACGGCACAGTAGCGAATTCGCATTCGTGAATAAATGTGTAAAAATTGCTTTAAGGTAATGACAAGGTAAAAATTATTTATGGTTATATAAAGCTATGGGGCAGGTGCTTGGAGAAAGGTGAAAATGATAATTGGAATGTTGAATGATCGATTCAGCAGCAATACTTTAAAAAATTAGATGAAATATTTTTAATATTTTAGTTAATGCACAGTAAGTGAGTCAACAGGTTACAAAAAAATAAATACGTACTTTAAATAATTTTATTGATTTTCACGCAATAGAGAGATATATTTATACAACATTTTTTCAAAATCGTATAGCATACTTATGTCAGTGTAAAAGTCTTTGATTAATTCAAAATTCCGGAAAAATTTCTTACTTTTAAGATATGCTCCGATTATGTACTACATTGATGTGAGAGTTACGGTTAGATTTATATTCAAATGATTTTTGACAAATATCACACTCGATTGGTTTGCTACGATTACGTGCTGCATTTATGTGCTTATTGAGGTTACTTTTTAGCATAAATTTCACATTCGAAGGGTTTGCTTCGATTATTTTCTGCAAAATCAATGAATATACGTTCATTCATGTCATTGATCTGATTTCCGTTTTCTATTTTCACAAAAGAGAGGTAATTTTGATGTTCGGGTTTCAAGATTATTGTAGATAAAGATTTTGGTTCAAAATTAACATCTTTGCCCTCAAAGTCTATAAATATTTTTTCCTTCATATCAACTATTTGATTATCGTTTTCAATTTTTACGATAGGTTGAAAATTTTGATACTCAGATTTGACGATGGTAGTCGATGGAGACTTCATATTCGGTTTAAAATTTTTACACTCAAAATTAACAAATGTTTGTCCATCTAACTGTTATGCAACGCCATGGCTTCATTCATGTAATTTGCCTAAAATTGAAAATACGTAACAAAAACGATTGTGAAAAATAAGAAAATAATTCAAATCATTAAACTCACTGATGATTTATGAAATGTAGACTCTTCAACGTTTTTCGCATCGTCAAAGTTCACCGACTCCAAAATGCGATCGTCACCTGCATCCAGGCAAGTATCGTTTGGCTCTTTCTTCACCCTGAAGAATAATAAATTTTGATGAAGCGATGTCCCCAAGAAATATAATTGTATAATGTACACACGAAAAAGTTAATACCTAACTCTATCCTCTACGCTTTCCATTGTTTGATTCAAATATGTAATCACTATGATAATTTTCAAAAAATACACTCGATCGAATATCCAACAACTATGTCTCGACTTTAGATCGAGAGTCAAAGACTCATACTTTTCTGCTCCTTTTATTTGTAAACATTAGTTGTACGAGAAAGTCTCTTCTTAGCCAGACACTTAAAGCAATACCTACTCGTATAATATAGAACGCGTTGATGCCGCGACTGTGATTACTTCTCGGCGATACTTTTCCCTTGCCACTGACGACTGATCGTACGCAAATGTGTACTGCGATATTACATGTATAGGCACCGCTCGAATGTCATTGAAACTACACCAAAATTGTAATGAAAATTGTATTCATTCTAGCATATTTCGAGATGATTTTTTTGTCCTCGTGTACTGTTTCATATATCACATTCATAAGATTACAATTTCGTATGGGCGTATATATATATTCAATTCGCGAGCATCTGAAGAAAATACGATAAAGAAATTTCGCTCGTAAACCCAGCCTTACCGCTCTGTCGAGTATCGCTGATCTCGCGACTCCATTCGGCACAAATATTATTTGCAATTGACATCATTATTTGGAATTATCATTTATTATTACATAATAAGAATGAGATCTTTTTTCGTTTTGTTTATTCTGTCCAAAAAACTCATCCTTTTAAAGGATATTTTTAAATTTTAGAAAAAAATATTTTAAATATACGACGTAAAACGTTCAAAATTCATGAAACTAATTTGTTCTACATTAGAGTGTTTGCCTGGCTAATTTATTGGGCTTATCAAAGGGATGGCCCCGCAGCCCCCGGAGTAATGAAGAGGCTCCATCGCTACAGGCCCGAAACTGTGGCACTTCTTCGAGTTAGACGCTACCAGAAATCAACCGAGCTGCTGATCCGCAAATTTTCAATTCCAGCATCTCGTGCGTGAAATCGACAAAGATTTCAAGGCCGACTTGTGATTCCAGAGCTCTTCTGTCTCGTCTCTGCCGGAGGCCAAGCTTACCTCGTCGGATTATTCGAGGATACGAACTTATTCGCGTACTCCATGCGAGTCACCATCATGTTCAAAGATATGCGATAAAATTACGCTGATTTTTACATTCCATAAAAAAAAGTAAAACATGCCAAGGAAAATCAAATAGTCCTTTGAAGGGCCTAGCTGTAGTGTGACCAAACCGATGTTTGGTTTATTGACGGTGTAACGATGTATCCTTTAACTCTAGACGATTTCCCGTATTCTTAAGAAAGTACGAGTGTCAAATTCAATATCATGACCGTCAGTCAAACGTGTGGCCTTGATCGGCCTAAGCAGAAAAATATTTCCCGTCCGGCCAACGAAATCAGTTTTATACTAGTAGCAAAATCATTTGACTAGTCTGCACAGTCCGGAAAAGTGGGAATGTCGAGAAAAACCCCCCGAAATAGATAATTCCCCCGCCGAGACGATAATTCGCAACTCGATTGGCGACACGATCACTCGTATAAATAAGTACACAGGCCTCGTGTTCGTACATTACATCGCCGACTTTGCTGACGATACGAATATTCAGAGAGAAAAAGACGAAAATGGCCCCCAAATCGTCATCGATCGGAAAGTCCATCAAGAAGGAGTCGGCGGCGGCGGCGAAGAAGAAGCAGGACAAGAAGGCCAAGAAGAAGACGCGCAAACAGAGCTTCGCCACCTACCTCTACAAAGTCCTCAAGCAGGTCCATGCCGACCTGGGCGTCTCCTCCAGGGCCATGGGCATCATGAACAATTTGGTCTTCGACATCTTCGAGCGCATCGCCACGGAGGCCTCGCGTCTCGCTGCCTACTCCAAAAAGTCGACCATCACCTCCATGGAGATCCAGACGGCCGTCAGACTTCTCATGCCCGGAGAGCTGGCCAAACACGCCATGAGCGAAGGTACCAAAGCCGTCACAAAGTACCAAATGTCCAAAAAGTAATTTGACTTTCTAAGCTGAATATATAAACAATCGGCCCTTTTCAGGGCCACTATATAGATTGTTTAACGTTGGAACCAATTATTTGTTGACAAGTCATCATATGAGTCGATGTGCTCGGTAAAAGCAGTACTGATGACTCTTTGAAATATCCTTCAATCACACACATCTCTTTCGTCATCTATCACCTCATACATTACGCACGTGTGAGTAATAAATAAATGGTTTTTAAATAAATAGATTATTGACATTTTGGAAAAGGTACATCGTACAATTTTCACCAAGAAAATGTAAGTAAATAAATAATCAGTCTCACTCAGAAATAGTACATCGCGAGATTATCCATCAAACTCTTAGCTAAAGATAAACATCGAGTCCTCATAGGCAAAAGCCAGTTATACATAAAATAATATTAATACATCCATACGATTTGTGAAATGTATGAAATGATAAATCATACTTGAAAATTATCATCAAATCATTCGATATATTGTTTTACGAAATTAGAATTCCTCGACAGTTTTGAGAAAAAATGAACTTTAAAAGTTCAATTTCTTTGGTTTTTATAAAATGATACGAAATCGGTTCGATACGTGTATTTTCATAAACTTATAAATTGATAAATTGATTTTATAGTGACAAATTTTTCCCCAAATTGATTGAACAGCAGATGTAAATACATCGATATTATCAAGTTAGTCCCATAAGACACGAAAACAGTCACAGTTTTCGATAAAATCACGTAAACTGTTTGCATAAAATTCGATTTCCACTAAATATTTTATTAAAAAGCTACGTATCAGCAGTTGTGTAGCTTTTGCGTAAATCTTCCGCTCGATTCTACTCTTTACGATCTTTTCATCTTCACTCGCACGGCAGAAATTCAAAAAGCTGCTCGCGCCAAGATACCACGATAATACATAGGTATATTTTCGCGCGCGCGCCCACCCTCGTCCGTCACGCGTACGGAGGTGTTACGCGGCGGGCGCCTCTGGTCTCGCACGATTACGTGTATTCGCGCGAGCATTGTTGTCTCCGTTTCTACGGAAACGCCAACTCGTGCCTGGAACCAGTAGCAGGTGTCGATATTTCACGCGTGGTGTTATTATCGCGAGCGAGCGTTTGGTACTCGCGACACGACTGACGGACGAAGGCGAGAAGATACTTTGATCGAGTCGCGCGCGATAAAAGTGGAAAAACAGTATGGCCGAGACGAGCGCGAGCCTCGGCCTGTCGCACATCCTGAAGCCGAGCCTGCACGAGAACGATTTCCTGCAGAGCTTCGTGCGCATCGGCATCGACGAGCCCAGCGAGCCAAGCCCCAATGAGAAATCAGCGCCCAGCGAAAAATCTCCGAAAAGGTATACACCTAAAATCGTTCGCATCGGCTATTATCTTTTCGTAACTGTGTTTGTGCAAATGTTTGCCCTCCCACGCGGCACGAATCAGGAAAGAATCGTATCTAGCCGCCAGCAGCGGCCCATCGTCGAAAGGCCAGCTGAGCTTTCAGGAGCCGCATCAGCAGCAGGCTCGAGTCCGCTCGTCTCGCTCGGTGAGCGCCAATTACAACGGCGGCTCGCCGAGCCGAGGCACGACCGGCGCCGCTGCCCCGACGACGACCTATTACTCGCCGCACAAGAGCATCGGCCAGCTGCTGCAGGAGGAGATGCGGGCGCAGAAGTCGCGCAAGCGTCGCCGGCGGCGCAGCGACGCCCACCGCCAGGAGGAGGTCTACACGGACAAGGACAGGGCCGCCGCGGTGAACATGGGCAGCCGCGACATCAAGCAGTCGCTCAAGCTCAAGCGCAAGCAGGACCGCAGCAAGGCCCTGCAGATACCCGAGGAGGCCGAGCCGAGCTCGATGCTGGCCCACGGCCTCAGAGAGCTCAGGTGCGGCAACGTGCGCGTCGCCCGCAATTGCATCGACAAGGTCGAGCCTTCGATGATTTCAGCTTTGAAAGATCGAATTTGATTTTTTAGTAACTCTTATTGAGTGCTTGATTGAATTTTATATCTCGATGAGGTCAGCGGGTATGTGAAAGTTGATTTTGCGTTTTTTGTAATACAGTGATTCGAATAAGGGCTTTGTATCAATTATCAATTTTTAAAAGTCATTAAATATCTGCGCAATCGATGATCGCTCCGTTATAAAACGCACACGTACGCAATTTCCGTTACCTGTGGTAATTTTTTAAAAACCCCAATTTTCTTGATCTGTATATTACAGGCGCTCGAGCTCAGCCCGAAGGACAAGAACGCCCTGATAGCCCGTAGCAGGTGTCACCTGCTGCTGGGCGAGCCGCAGAAGGCCCTGGCCGACGCCGAGCTGGCGCTGCGCGGCCGATCGCGCGACCCCCGCAACGCCAAGGCCCTCTACTCCAAGGCCGAGGCGCTCTACTACCTCGGCGACTTCGAGCTCAGCCTCGTCTACTTCTATCGGGGCATGAAGATACGCCCGGAGTTCGATCAGTTTCGGCTCGGCGTGCAGAAGGCCAAGGAGGCCATACAGAACATACTCGGTGGTACGTTTTCATGTTATCTCTCTGTATGGCAGTTGAACTCGATATTACGATGATGTCCATAAAATAATCATTTAAAATGTTTTTAAAATATTTATATAACTGTCCATTGGGAATTACGAATGATTTGAAAATAACAATTTTAATGTCTCATAAAATTTAGATCAATTTTCAACCGCCTTCGAATACTATGTCACTTGAAGATTTCTTCGCTAGGTGGCGAGCACCCCTTCATAAGTTAATCTGAAAGCGGCAAAGGATCGTGAAAATGGCTTTGCATGCATTTGAATGTAAAACGATTAAGTCTTTATGAAACATTACTTCGATGCTGCTTTACGGAAACAATCTACAAGATCTTGTCAAGGATACAAGAAATTTTGTTGTTGTTAAATGCAGTGAAAAACAAAAATTACCTCAAAAAGCTATTGTTCAAGAATTAAAATCATTGTTAATACATTTTTAACTAGTGGCAAAAATTGTTGCTATAGCTGAGCGAATAACTTTTTAATAATTGTGTTTGAATACTATAATTTTTTATAAAATCGAAATAATAATCAAAGTATATATCAAATTGAAGTTATCAATAACAGTTTGAAATACTTTATTTCACAAAAAAATTGAATATTATTTTGGAATGATTTTCCAAATATACACAGGATACTTTAGTATTAAATAATTAAAATCCATATTTTGAAAAATTAAAAAAAAATATATAAATAATACATATATTTAAATGGATATGATATCCAATTTGGAAATATCATAACAAATAACACTTATAATATTTATGTTACTATTACGTTTTGTCATTTTTATGTCGATTTTGTAAAAAAAAATCAACATCATTCAACTTAATAGTCTACACCTTCAAAAACATTTCTTGTTTACGATTTACACTGAAAAATTATCGTTTTCAATAACAGCGACACAATACTTCACGTATTAAATTACCTTGTTAAAAATATATAGTCGCATTATACGGAGCCACGAGATTCATTATAATATGCACTGCCACCGCTGATAATATGAACTCTAATTTTGTTTTGTATCGTCCTGGCCAGGTAATCCAGTGCCCATACCCGAGACTCCTGGTCCAGTAGCAGCCGTCGGCACAGGAGAGCAGCAGAGAGAGACGACGACGGCGACGAGCAGCACGAGTCAGAGCTCGACTCGTGCCGATTCCAAGGGCGAAACGTGCCGCAGCAGTTGTGGACGCACCAGCGCAGGCGGGACAGCTCAGACAGCACCACCGAGCGCTGGTACGACTACTCAGCTCACTGGCCCGCAGCAGCGACGAAGCAGCAGCAAACGATCGACCGCCAATGTCACTAACGGCAATAACTTACTCGGCCATTTGACGAGGGACAAGAAGTACCTGCAAGAGCTCATAAAACGACCCGGTGAGTGGCTGATACTTTTGATTCGATTGTAAGCAGCTCGTGATATATTATAACGATTGCAGATATAAAAGCGGCGCATCAGAGCTCGGCGCAGAACATCATAGCGCACGCCGAGGAGGGCCTGCAGTTCTTGAAGACGAGGCAGGAGTTTTGGAAGCAGCAGTGCAACGCCCGTCAGCAGTCGTCGTCGTCATCTTCGCGTCGTTGGGCGGCTACTTCAACCTGAAGACTTCAATGCGCCTTTACAGGCGAATTATTGTACATTTATATCGTTGAATTTTGTCGTTTAAACGAAGTAGACAAATAAATGTTTCATTTGCACGGAATTTCGTTCGCATATATCAGGACCCATTGAAATCATCCTCAGTGGCATTCAAATAAGATTATGGATTTATAAAAGTAATGAGAAAGAAGATGTATCAATTATAAGAACATATAAACGACCTACTCTTCGTAAGAGGAAAAAATTCTCGACGCGAAAAGCTGCAGAAATCAAGTATCCTTAAAATGCATAGCGATTTATTTTTTGTGGCTGAGCAAATTTCCTTTTTGCCCAAACTTCTTCTCGCACTTGTACCATGCTTAATCTTTGTGTCTCTCGTGGACTGTCCTTTGGTGCCGAAACAAATTTTTTTTTTGGTCCAAATTTTTTCTCGTACCAGTCACATGCAAAATCTTTCCGACCTTCGTGGACTATTCTTTGGTGCATGATTAATTGTATTTTTTGTCGCAAGCAAAATCTTTGCGACATTCATGGACTGTCTTTTGATGCCTCAAAAAACCTGATTTTCTTGTAAATTTCTTCTCGCATTTGTCGCATGTGTAAACATTCGAAACTTCATGGACTGTGTTTTGGTGGTCAAGCAAACTCCGTTCATTTCCACATTTTTTCACGCAATTGGTACATGAGTAATCTTTGAAGACTTTGAAGGCGAAATTTTTCCTATTTTAATGTACTGTCCTCAGATGAAAAAGCAAATTCAGTTTTTTTCCTAAATTTCTCCTCGCACTTGTCCCAAGCGTAATCCTTCCGACCATCATGGGCTGCTTTTTGGTGTCTGATTAAATACGATTTTCGTTCAAATTTTTTCTCGTGATCTAAAATCTCACAGGTTGAGCCTCGGTTGGCTCTCGGTGTCAACACGTCATCGCTACTTTCCTGCGTCTATCGCTCTTGGATGTCTCTCGTTCCGAAACCCTGTTTATCTTCGATCGCTTTTTACATTGCCATCTGGGATCCCAGCTCTGCGCTCATCGGCGAGATTACCCAAGCAATCACTGATCCCGAGGTTCGTTCTCTCAGCCGCTCTTCGGGGGTCGTTGGCCTTCGTGATTGCGTCGTTTGCTAAATTTTCAAAGTGGTCTGAAAAATGCTGAAAAAAATCACACGTATTCTTTCAACGATTTCAAATAAGTTTTTACACTTCAAATCTTCCTTTTGATTTGATATTGAGCGCATGTAAAATAGTTTCCGAGTAAAAAATGAGGGAATTTTTATACTGCTGCTCGGTATAAATTCACCATTTTAGAAATATAGGGGCTAGATAAAAATCGTGGCAGCGCATTTTTTGAAGGTTCAGAGAAAAAGTGCACGATTGCTGGTGTTATGGAAACCCTCCGAAGGCAGGGCGAGGTAGAAAATAGACTTTGAAAAAAAATTTTAAGTCAAAAAATCACTTTTTTTTTTAATTGCAAAATTAACGATGATAATGTTTATTTATCGCAAAAATAACACCGGATACTGAAAGAGTGGGTATAAATTTTCAAGAAAATATTTCAACTTTATCTATAATTTTTTTACAACGGAAAATTCATGCACAAAATTGCACTTTTGCGTGTTAATGGGTTAAGTAAGATTAATTAACGGTGCAAAAACTCATCGAATTTTCAAACGATAATCTGAATTAGTATAAATAGTAATAATATACATCATGGTCTACTGCTCTCTTAAAACCGTAAATGGCACTAAAAATTACTCTGCATCGTAAATTTGGCAAGGATTTAAATCATTATATAGCACCTGTATTATCGCAAGACTATCTTATTACAATACAGTAGAAAAGCCGCGAAAAACTATTATTGATCAAAAACGCCTTCTGCAGTATAGACGCATTATTGGTTTCGTGATTATAAAATTAAGCCGATTCTCGTTTATATCGAAGGGACATTGTGGCGCATATCCTGCCAGTTTTTACGAACATAAATCGGTTAAAATCGGTTGGACATCGCTATATGAGCCATGATTCGAATGAGATGAAAATTAAAGAACACAGTTCCTGCTCTCGAATATTAAAATTTACATTTATTTACATAAACTATTATGTTCTTCGATTGTGAGTCGCTGTTATGAAAGTTTTCAATATGGCTAATCGACTAAGGACAAGTCGTCTATATTACGTTTGTTTTTATTTGTTTATCTCGCGGAGAGACCGATGTAGATCGGTGAAACCGTTGAGAACATTTCAATTGTAATTCAAATGCATACAAAAGCACGATGAAAAATGTGAAATTTCGGATGCACGAAAGTCAAGGCTCGATGTTCACACATGGCGACGACGAGCGAAAATTATACACGAGGTTTGGGCCTATTCTGTCTATAACATTGTGCCGTTGAATGCACATGACGATCTGATCGTTGTAGGCCTCAATCGTAACGTCATTACAATTGAAAATTTAGAGAATGCCGAATGACGTTTTTTAAATAAACTTGATTCTCTGAAAAAAAATTTTCATTATACGAGAGAGAGCTAGAAATTTTAAATATTGGTTGATATGGACTCCTACGAATGCTTATACTCATCATTATTTTACTTATTTACGAGACCTTAAGAGGTCAATGATATTTTTTTTGTTTTTCTGCTTTTCTCTCCTCGTAAACACATGATCCATCATTTCCTTTTACTCTTTCTTTGCAACGATGTGTGGTGACTTGTCAGCGCAGCGTTGAAGACATCATCTCCTACGTGATATGTTTATGGGCAGATATTAGCGTAATTGGTGTCCACAAAAATGAATGATGTGATTCATTGAGGAGACATATTAATTTGCTTGATTTTTCGCTTATTAAAATACATTAGAAATTTACCATGTCAATTGTTAAACTTAGACGATGTAAATTCACAGTAAATACTGGATATCTTTAGCAACATAGAATTACTTTTCTAATATAAAGGTAGTAATCAATTTAATCTTACATAAATTTGTAGTAAGCTAAAAATATTTTATGTGATTCAAATCTAACAATTCTAATACATGTTTCTTTTTCATAAAAACTGGTAAATAGATATGATGTGTTATGTATCTACGCGTATAATGCAAGAGACGGAAAATGAGCTGCACTGCGGTAACTGCGTTTGAAAAGGACTTCCAGGAGCTATCTCAGTGGTATTTCGCGGTTTGTCCTGCTATTATGACTCTTGTTCCTCGTACTCGATGCGGCGAGCGCCACAACTTGATCGTACTAAAGTCCTTGTGAATGAGCAAAATATCCTCGAGGGTGCGTCTTTTCTTTTAAATAGGTGCACTGATATGAGAATTTCGTTGAGGTAAAACGTAAAACTGTGAAATACTTAGACCGTCATATTATTGTCACTTGCGAAAGTCGATCAATCATATGAGGCGTTTAATACCACAAGTGTCCTAGCATGGAGGTGGCACTGCAATTTTAGGCGAAATTGCTTAATTTCTAAATCGCCGGAAAACCCCCTGAACGCACTTCAAAAATATATGTGACATATGGCTTTAATTGGAAATTCTCTCAGCTTTACAATAGTGGAGTGAGATTTTCGAAAATTTTCCATTTTCCCAGGGAAAGTTTAAAAATGAACTTTACACATTAAGAATCTCAAAAAATGTATTTTTAAGGTTTCGTGATATAGTTCGAAATCTGAGGAGATTTCTCATCGAAATACTTATTTTTTTGAGAGTATATTTCATGTTTAGGAGTACTGCGCGACGAAACAGCTACTACGCGGGCCGAAATATTACCGAAATTTCAAAAATCTGACTTCTTGGAAAGCTGAGGAAATTATTGTCTGTATGTTCGTGGGTGCAGTTGCCATGTCTACGCGTGCATATGTGTATCTTCTGTAAATGATGTAGCCATAATTGTAAATGAAACTTTACATTTTATTATTTTTTTTATAATGATTCAGTGCAAATAGTTAATTAAATAAATGTCGAAAAAATGTGGCATTAAACGGTATCTGACACAACAAGACGTATTATTTCTTTTTATTGTACAAATTTACATTTTTTAAAAATTTTTATAGAGTATTTGCAAATTGACGCATTTATTTTGAGTATAAATTTGAATGATTATTTCGATAATCGATTCTCCACTGAGGCCTCCAATTGAATGTACAAAAAAAATATTTACTGTCACGTTTTGGGGTCACTAGCAGTTGATCACTAATCGCTTGATCTTTTGAAATGAAAACCCCGACCTCCGGGAGTATTATTATCATAAAATGATTAATTGCATGCACAAATTAACGAGAATGTATTCAATTCAATTCTGCTGAAGCAAATTTCACTGCATTTTTAAAGGCTTCTTGTGATAAACCTGTACATAAAGAGGCACCAGCGGCTTCGATTTCTTCGTCCGTAAAAGCTCTTACATTTTCTTCCGATGAGAGTTCCTCTTTCTCCATTTCTTCCGATAGAGGAAAAAATGTAACATATATCTTATCACTATGGACTTCAATAATTTGTGCTGGCCAGAAATACGATTTGAACCTTTTTGCCAACACCACCTCATTGGGAGAGTAACGGGAAAGAAATCCCTGGTTTACCGGTATTAATACTCCTGAAGGAGAGTCAACATGTTCCAATGGCATATCTGGGATAGGTGGAAGGGTTTCCTCGTCGTCGGTGATCACATTTATTGGATGATCTTCGATTGCAGCCATCGGTTGATCAGCTTCAATAGCTTTATTACCTCTACTAGAAATTAAATAAAATTTTTAAGTACATAATTGTATATTATTTTTAACACATTTACGTACATCAATTGAATCGACGCATTTTTTATGTATTCGATCTCTTCAGAATCAATATCGATATCTTGTAAATATAATCGAATCGTTTCCACATTTCTATTTCGATACTGAAAAAAAGTTCTAGCCGATTTAGCTAAGGCTCCATTGACTTTATTTTCTTTAGGAATACCACAGAGTTTTTTATATAATGCGGTGGCCTTAGAGCGATCGCCGCCATAAATCTTTC